AAATATGACAACGTTGTTCTTGTAGCCCAAAAATGCAACGTCAGTGCTTCTCCCCAGAAACTTAAAAGTTAGTTTGGAGGAAGTCCACTTCCTTTGGGAATACCTCCTTCTCAGATAGGAAAGAATTAAAGACCTTGCATGTACTGGAGGAAGCTGAATGTTTCACTGAGGGCAATGACACAGGCTTGCTTTGGAGTTCAAAGCTTTTTTGTACTTTTTTCTTTCATCGCCTGTTGTGCTCCTTTCAATTTAAGACTCGCTTCTGTGATAGCTAAGAAATTGTAGATGTCCTACAGCCTTCTCAGTTCAACTCCTGTTGTGCTGTGAATACATACCAAGTTACAGAAATCACTCTTCTGTTTGCAGGATTTGGAACACCATTTGGGTCTGGCATTGAATGAAGTACAAGCTGCAAAGAAAACATGGTTCAACAGAACAATAAGCTCTATAAAGACAGTGACTGGAGTCCAAGGAAAAGAGACTTGTTGAAATGCAGTTCTGTCAAACACACCTTCTTAACACAACACCTTTTGTTGCCTTCCTTGGCCAGATGTTTAATTCTGTGACACGAGAGGACCAGAATGTAAATACAATAGAAATACAGCATGTCGGGATTTCAATAGGTCAGTGATAAAAAGGATGGAAACACAAAAATGGCTTTATTGCTAGACATGGGATCTTCATACTACTGATATTTAACAGGTGATGTAGCTAGATTGAAGCTCTTCAGAGAAACACTCCATTCTGCGGTCTGGCTGGAGGCTTTTCACAGACTAGGTACGAGAACTTACCAAACCCTAATTGTTAAGTTTACATACGATAGGTTTTTTTACAGTTATAACCTTTTTTAATATTTTATTTGAAAGGAAAAGTGTCACTAAAGGAATTATAAAAAAAAAAAGAGGAAAAAAAAAAAAAGAAAAACAAAGCAAAAAAAGAAGAAAAAAAAAGACAACTACCAAGAACTACATCAGTGCCAGAAAGCAGTCCCCAGAGGTAGGATATAGAGAGTAGGAGGTGAAGTTTCGTTTTTGAATGGGGATGATTTCAGCATTCCTGTCAGCGCAGCCCCACTTTGTTCTAGTTAGATGCAGCATCCATCTCTGTGTTTGGCATTTCTTTCTGTTACTAATCAATTCTATGCAACTCTGAGCTTTTTTTTTTTTTTTTTTTTTTTGTGTTTGCCAAACAAATTTGCAACCTGAGGTTCAGGGCCTTGGCTGAATGCTAGACGAGAATAATCAGAATTCTTGGGGAAGTTCTGTTTCACTTCTGTGTCGTATTGTTTGATCCACATATCAACAGCGTTAAAATCCCCAGCTAACAAGGACTGCTCATGTGGATGGTCTGACATTTAATTGAGTCTTTTTGTTTGTTTTTTGTCACTTTTTTTTGTTCTGTTCTTCCGTTGTTTTTACCCGCCTGTAGCAGGCCTTCTGTGAAGCTCTGAGAAAGCTTCCAGGATTTAGTTTTGCACATAGGTATGAATGGGACAAAGAAACAATGAACTGAGATATATATGAGGCAAAAATCACTGCGTGAGTGTAGCTGCGAGCATCTATAGCTGTCCAACTGGCTTCCCTGGTAACGCGTTCAGAGGTTGTGTAGGTCATTTTCCATGCTCGATGCAGTTGCACTAATAGGTGCTAAACATGCTTGGATTGCTTATTCTTTGGATTGTCTGAGTTCTCACCAGAAAGCTGTAGAATGGAGTTTTGCACCTTGTATTTTTTTTTTTTTTTTTAATTTATAATGGTTTGTGTTATGCTGAAGTATCTATTGCATCAGTGGATAAATTTCGTGTGCAGTGTGAGTATAAGCTGGTAACAATAAGAGGCACTGGTTTGTATATAAAGATATTTGGTTTATTTTGTATTTCTACCTTTTTCTTGTTTACTGTACTAATGCTAGCTAATGTACTCTGTAACTACAGAATAGAACATGCTATGTCCAAGCTTTTTTTCCTTAACTGCATACATTATCTCTATTGTTTAATACCAAAAACAAAACAAAACTTGTATCTCCATCAATATGAAATGCGTGGACATTGTGGTAGCATAGTTGCAGTGTGTATACTTTATGAATTGAAATATAAACAAGTAAAATTGTATAACTACTTCCTTGTTTCATTTCATTTTAACAAATTCATTAAATATTTTGCAATAGAAAACCAATTCTCTTCCTAAAATAGAAGTGTTAGGATCTGCAAGCTTCTGTCAGACCAAAACTATATTTGTGCTGCAAAGGACTTTGCTAAAAAAGACTTCATATTCTTGGTGTTGCCAACATTGCTTTATATAATAAAATGTAGGTTTTGCTTTGAAAAAAGAAACTGCTAAAATGACCTTGTGCAGCTTGAGGCTTGTGACTCAGTATTTCTCAAATATGTCCAATTTAGAACATTTTTTTCCATGACCCTCCAAATTCCGCTTGGATCTGCAAAATAAACGCAGCCTAGCTCTACTTATCATCATCAGTAACATAGATTCTGTGGGGTGAAGTGTCATTCACGTCATCTTCACTAGAAGCTTGTAGTCATAGCTGAACTGGGTTTAGCTGTGCAACTGGATGAATGCACTAATTGGGTCACAGTGCAGATCAGGCTCCCCCAACTGTGTGTGTTCTGCAAAGAGATAACAAGGAGTAAAAATGTATTTTTGTCACCAAAGTGACTAAAGGTGACTCTGAAAGCAGCCTTACTCTGGGAGGCTGTTATCATGCTGTCATTTTTCTACCCATACTTTTCCTGTAAGAGAATGGCATTATAAGGTTTGTGTCGTTTTTACTGCTTTGTCTTTCACAGACTGGTGCACCTTGGTAATTCCAGCTCTGCAGTTTCTCAATAATCACAACTTCTGGAGAAAGTTTGAAGGCGAATAAAGGCAAGATGGGAGGGGGAGAAGCAACCAAAGCAGTTCATTTGTCCATTTGTCTTTCCCGAAGGGAGTAGGAAATTGTGTGTGCTTTCCACTTTGCCCCAAAACTGTGCTGCTTAAAAGAAGGAAAAGTTGCTTTGTTCCACTAAGTAAACATTGCCTCAAAACTGTGCGCTGCGTATACTCATCATTTCAGTGTGGTGGTGGAACAAACGTAACAAAAAGCTTTATAACATTTTCTAAGAAATATTTTGTAGTCAGTTTCCAGTTGTGGATTATTTTAGATATCCTTCTGAAAGACATTACTCACAAATAAATATTACCAGCATAGTTCAACTCTGACTCCATCTAAGGCATCTGCAACTAAGAAAAACAGATTGTCTGCTGAGAGGCATGTCTTTTGAAGCTCAATTACACGTGAAATATAAGGAAGCAGATCATTTTTAAGATGAGAAAGATGAATTTACAGGTACTCAAGCCTTTGAATGAGCAAGGTGAAAAAAAACAAACCACAAATCACATTGACTCAAAGTTGCTATAGGCAGGAATATATCACAGATCTGTAAGCAAAGAAGAATGAGTTTGTTAGCATTTTTTGCTGTAATAAGATGTTATCTCCTGTAGTTAATTATCTCTCTGTTCACATATGCTCTCAGCTGGTTTTGTGCAGTGAACTCAAAATGAATGCCACATTGCCTGCTGAAGCTTATATATTTTTCTGAAGAGCCTGGTGTGCTCTGGGCTGCTGCTTGCAAATGCTTTGTGCTGGATCGCTGAGGTCCGGGCTCTCTGGCACTGATCCTCTATGGTTACAATCTCCTTTTAGTTTCTGAGATTTTCCTTCTTGGTTGTGCAGGGTCTTCGGATGGAAGCGAATGTTCCAGCTCTATCAAAACTTCACCTTTAAGTGTTGCTGGTAAGCCTTCCTGCAATTTATGTAACCACCTCCTTGACTTTTTTTAGCTGCCCTTCTTATCTGTGGCAGTAATATAAAGTTCCTGCTATCAAGAGGAGGATTTTGTTCCATCTGTTCAGCAGCTTGGCTCGCACTCATCCAGCCTAACTTTAGACACTTCAGAAGGGGCCTTTCTGGAGGGCTTAATGGGATGGCATGGCTCGGTGTGCTGAGGGCACGGGGCTGTGCTGGGCTGTGCCTGAGCGAGCGGAGTAACGTGCACTGCCTGCCTGGAGGCCCTTAAATGAAATAATAAAATGAGGCATCAGTTTACACAGCAAGGATTGTTTTCTGGTTTAGATTGCCCTCCTTTTTCACTGTGCAGTACTGTCTTCATTACCCAAGGCCCCCGAAGACTCTGCATACAAAACCTTTTAGGATTTTACCAGATTTTACAGCTACGTGTCCATACTGAGTTGGAGGAATGAGGATTTGGTTTTGCTGCCTTTCTGCCTGCTAATGAAACAAAGCACTAATTGTGTGCTCCTGCACTCCAGGTTTTGTGAGGGCATGCAGCTGCAGCCCGCTCACAGCGCTGGGGACGCGCGCACTGTGCGAGCAATGCGTGACTGCTGCTAAGGGAGCGTGGAGTATTTGCTGCCTGGCTGGGAGTAATGTTGACAGTCAAGGGTTTTCTTGCAGTGGCGTTGGGTCTTGCAGAAGACGAGATAAACAGAACTGAGCTGACTTAAAGATTTCACACGCGGCAGACTTCTGTGATCAAGTGACTTATGGAGGGACCGCGAGGGCCTCAGCCTCTACGCTGCGAGGTGGGAACGGCATGGCGCTCCGCTCCCGCCCAAGGAGCGGGGGCGGTGCCCGCGCGTCGCACAGCGCTTTCTGATAGGTCGATACGCTGATTGGCGGCAGAAGCAGCCAGTGAGAGGCAGTGGCTCGTGGCGAAGCGCCGGCTATGGAACACTCTGGCGGCGCCATCTTGTTAGCAGGAGGCTGTGCGGTGAGCCGAGGGGCTGCGAAGGTGGGCGGCAGGCCGGGAAGCAGCTGGGCCCGCCCTGTGGGAGGGTGGAGCTGAGGGTTGGTGCACTGAAGGGTGGTGCACTGTTAGGAGTTGCTGGGCCAGCCCGGGAGCTGAGGTGAGCGGCGGCCTTTGGGCGCGTCTGTTGTGCTGGTGAGTCTCATCCCCAAATGGCGCCGGTGGTGGCCGTGGAGCCCCTCAGCAGGCAGCGCTCCGTGACCTTCCCTGTCATTGCGGCATTAAGTGCTGGTGAACGGAGAGTACCGGTGTATGGGAAAACAGCAGAGGCTTGCGAGAAGGTATTAGTTGCTGCGGAGTGAAGTACCTTCTATTCTATCCAGAATATCTATATTTACTTCTATCTTAACTGGTTTTCACATTGCTTTGTCCTTGTGCCTGCTCTCTGCAGACAGTGCTTTGGGCCCTTAGGCCTGAGGAAGGTGGTGGGCCCTGCTCCGGCTGCTGGGAGCCGTGGTTGTGCCAGCATGTCGGGTAGGGTCAGGTTTGCTCCTTTCTTGCACCAGCTGAGAGGTGAAATGAGGAGTGGAAAGCTTGGCAATAGGATGTGAGAACCGATGAAGCAACGTGCACGTAAACTGCTTGATCTGCAGTGTGATGGATGGCTGCCTGCACGGGGAAACCTGCACAAGGAGGGGCCGCGCCAGCACTCCTGGTGCCTCCTCCCTGGTAGAGGTTCTGCTGTGCCAGCTGTGTTCTGTTGTAAAGGAGGCTGGAATCATGAAAAATGCACTCCTGTCGGTCTTAGAATTGTTGACATAATGTTTGTATGGACAAAGCTATTTCTGTGCAGAAGCTAATTTTATATAGAAAAAAAATTTGTAGCCTGTGTATCACCTAATGCATAAGAATGCATATACGTGGGGTGAAAACTACTGTAAATAGAAATTCTCTGATTTCTAACCTGGAGGTAATGGGAGGAGAATGTGATTTATCAGATCTCTTGAGAACTGCCGCAGAGTGCTAACCAATTCTGTGAAATTATTTTTGTTTTTAATGGAGCAATTATATCACGAGATTTGCCCCAAATTGGCATAGATGAAATTACTGCAGATGGTTCTGTAAAAATCCTGGACCATGCAAGACTTCTAAAGAGCAACGTTAAATAACAAGATTTGTAACAGAAATAAGCTTTGTAAAATTATCGTTTAATGCTAAATTAAAAGTTCTCCATACTTGCAGGGAGCTACAATCTGTTTTTACAGAATTCAGCAATTAAGCAATTCGGGCAGTGAATGGATCTGTCAGGATGCCAAACAGCATCCAGCCAGAGATGCAGATTTCAAGGTAATGCTTCTGCTTGTGCTGCTTTGTCCTTACAGCACATGTTATCAGGTCATATTAATTCTGTGTACATCAGAGAAGAAGTGAAGAAGGAAAATTAAAGCTCAGGTACTTACGCTGTACTTAATTTTTTTTTTTTTTTCCCTTAGAACACTCAGATCTGCGCTGAGTTTTTGTTTCTCTAATGATTAACTCCACAAGTCCTAAGCCTTAAGCGTTGCTGAAAAGCACGCTCTGTGATGAACGTGTTTTCTATCTTAAACTGTTCAGGGTGCAGATTTACAGTGTGATAGAATGGATGTAATGATTAGACTGCACCAAAAGGTCCTTCTCACCTGCTTGTTCCTGCTGGCATTCTGGTCACAACACTTGCACCAGGCATACCAATGCTAGCATAAGAGAGGGGATGAAATTACAGCCTGCCTGATGATTTGTTATGGAATCAAATCCTCAGTCTGCAGCAGCAGAGACAGAGTTTTTATGTGTGCTTAGGCTCTTCTCATTCCAGTTGGATTAATGCAAGCATCTTAAGATGATTTTGCAGTTAAGACATTGTGGAGAACTATTCTTGCAAGACTTCTTTTTGCTGTAGATAAGGCTCTTCTGTGAACTACTTAAACTGTAGCGTGCCAGGAGCTTGATGTTCTGTAAGTAGGTGATCCAGAAAAGGTGCTGGCAGGTCTTAGCACAAATGCTAGGGGATGTGCTGCTAGGAGAAGGGAGTACCATAGGCTCTGTCCTAAAAAGCACTCTGAGCTAGATGTACCCTACTCGTGACAGTGCTTCACTCTGAACCAAACGCGGGTTCTAGTTTCGCTTTGTTATTATGTGTGCATGGTTTTCCCTTTCATTGGGGTGGAAGAAAGAGGAGCATATCCTGGTGTTCTGGATAGGTGTTCTCTTTCAGAGGCAGACGCCAGCATCAGAGCATTTTGCTCTCAAATACAAGTTGTTGTAGGCTATTAGAATAATGACTTCATTGATGTGCTAGCAGTTTGTTCTTTCGAAATGAACAGGGGTTAGTTCAGACCAGCTGTAAAAATGAGTAACATCGGCTGCACTGATGTTGCTTGGTCCAGGCTGGGGAGCGCTTTGAGGAGCTGTGCTACTGGCGAGGCCATGGCTGCCATAGGCTGTGGGAGGGGATCAGGGGCAGAGCTGCCACAGGCAAGAACCAACTGCACTGGTACAGCTGGGCCAGGAAGATGTGTTTGTGCTGGAAAATGGCTTTCAGCATGCAGACCCTTCTCAGTAAGTTTTATAGACATTGCTTATTTGAATGAACTGTTGAAATAGTTAAGCCTGGAGATTTCTGAGGAATCTGAGGATACTAGATGCCCAGCGTTAGCAAAGACCTCTCATTTCCTTTTAGTAAATCCAACTGCAGTCTGTGAGGCACATGAAGCAGCTAGCAGAGTAAGATGCTCCATGTTTTTCTCCTGTGGGCTTTTGTTCTGGAAGTTGTGTTATGCCCTTGTATGAAAGGATCTGAAAGGACACAACAAAATCAGACTGAAGTATATATGAAATCAATCTGCGGGATGTATTTGTAGTACAGCTTGAACTTGGCTTAGAGTACTGATACGTTTTTCTGTTATTCTCTTGCTTTAATAATGCTGCTTGAGATAGGCATACCAAACTACAGCAGAAGTGTATCATGGTGATTTTTTTTCAGAATATGATTTAAAAAAAAACTTTAAATTTTGCTTATTTAAAAAATTAGGGCAAAGTATTTTTTTTTAATCGCTTTTACTGGTAAGTTACAGTTGCTGTGATGTGGCCAAAAATTGTTTGCTTTACCATGATCCTGCAGTATGGGCCTTCTGTGTGCAGAGGAGCCCTGTACATGACTGTCTCCAGAGGTGTAACAATTCAGAGTACAGTTTGCTTTACAGAAATGAACACACTGTTTTTGTTCTGATGTTGCAGACATCTTCCTCGATCGACAGCTTGTATGGCAAATGTATTTCAGAAAGGTTGTATAGTGCTTCAGATAGAATCACAGCCACTGTGGACTCACAGATGCCAGAAGGTGCAGAAGTGATGAGATTTGCAGGCTGCTAGATAGGAAGCAGAAGCCCTCATCATGCAGAGTGTACAGTTGGTGTAAAAGTATGAATACATCAAAGCAGTGTGTTTAAACTCCCTGCTGTGAGCATCTGTTAATGCATAGAGTTGTCTGTGATCCAGCATAGAGCTGTGTTAATAGATGAACTTTGGGAGGTGACGCTATAGTGACTCTGATGAGATTTTCTAATCTGTGAGGCCAGTTTATCCGATAGAATAGGGATAGAAATAGGAAAGAAAGGAATAGGAGAAAAAAATTGTGCCGTTTTAAATCAAATTCTGTGCATGAGGAAAAAAGTAGTAAAATACTGAGACTGAGAGCTGTGTCGCTATCAGCTTTCACAATGTGACCAAAGTGTGTGTTTTGTTTTGTCTTTTTTAATCAATCCTTTTAGAAAACTGTAGAAAACCATTGTGGTTTTGGCACAGTTCTTGGCTGACAAGAAAGGGAAGTGAATTAATGCCTTCTGTGCCCTGAAGGCCTGTGTTAGTTTAAAGAAGTGGTTTTATAGTAATTTAATAATGATGCACCAGAGCAAATGGATGGGAAGGAGGAGGAGGAAGGCTGGCTGCTTACAGTGTACATCTGAGTTCTCCGCCTACCCAGGACAGAGGACCGCAGCATAATTCCCTCTAGCACGGAGGGGGAGGCATGGTGTTTCTAAGAGAAGACGATTGTGCATTGCCCTGAAGGGTTTTCTGCATGGGATGTGAAAAGCCCAGTGTGCCAGAGGGGCTGTGGAAGCCTGAGCCAGACTTCTCTGAATTATGAATGAAGCGGCTGCTGCTAGCACAGACATGAACACAGACTCTAGAGCTGCTGTGTGCCTGCAGCATTACAGTAACAGACTGGTTTTAGATTTCAGCAGCTACTCAGCAGCCTCGTCTCTGAGCTCATTTTAATGTCTCTAGAAGAGTTGGGACGGAGTGGGGCCAGTAATGATGTAAGTGGGAAGCTCTTCCATTTTTGTCCAATTTTGTCCAATTTTCCTTCATTTGTTCTCAGTGAGATCCATTTAAAATACTTCAGTTCAGTTTGTCAACTTTCATCTGAACACAGCTTTTTTTTCCTAGTCTGAGTGTTTTGTTATTGTTTTGTTATTTTTGCAGGAAGGGTGTTGTCTTTCACTGTGCAATTCTTACTTTGTTCCAGTAATAAAAGAAGTCAGTCGGTAGTCCCAGACAACCCCGAACAGTCCCTGTGCCCTTTGTGTACATAGCATGCAAGGTGAGAGAATAAGCAGAGTGTAAGATATCCTGAGATAGCTGCTCAGACATGCAGTCCAGTCTTGGCAGCCCAATTCCTTTGGGCTTCTGTCAGGTGTTGTAAACAGATGCCTCCTGTGAGGGACTGAGCTATTTGCAGACAAAATTTACAGAACAGGGGATTGGAATAATGGCAGAGAATCTGTGCAGCTCTACTTTCTGTACAGGGCAGCATGAGCTGGGAGGGATAGATCTTTATTTTTTACTTCGTGCTGTCACTGGCATGGTTTATGGAGCGTGGTGCTTTCTGCCTTCAAGTGCAAAGCTCTTAAGTAAGAGCCGCCACCCCACAGTCAGTTACAGCACAGCCAGGGCTCTGCCCTCACTCCTACTGAGATGAGTGAATGAGATCTGCCAGCTGTAGCTCCTGACTTTCACTGTCAGAGCACCTTTCTTCTCACACTGCATGGAAATGGGCCCTCGGAGTCAGTTTGGAGCAGTTTCCTGCCAGTTCCAAGGGTCCTCAACATCGCAGCTGCCTTTAACAGATCTGCAGTTGCGATCTGTTTGTCATTCATGAGAAAAGGGAACTGATGCCTGGATAAGCCAAGCCACATCAATAAATTAAGAGGCAGTAGGGCATGGAATTTAGATTGTTTGGTGTTGGTGTTCATTGAAAAGTGAAACCAGAGCTAGCTGTGTGAATTTCTGGGCAGGCTTGGAGATGCATCAGGTCACGTACAGTGACAAGCTGGCTTGTTCCTTCATGGCTGTCAAACAAATCCTTTATTAGAGTTTTCTTTGTATCGTATGCAGTTTTTTAAAGTAGTGCTGATGGCAGCAAGATAAGCTGGACTTCTTGCTTGTTCAGTAGCTGGTTGATTCTGCAGGGATCCCTTCAGTGCTGTGCCAGCAAAAGACAGGACTGGTGCAGTCAAGCAGCTGTGGGAATGGCTTGAGCCTGGGGAGGGCTATTCCTCTTAGAGAGCTCACTGCTTGCCTTCAGCTGCAGGCATTGAGTTGGATTTGTTGGAACAATAAAGCACTATGGTGAGAAAAAGTATATGGACTGAAGTGGTTGTGTGGTTTGTTTTGGCAGGGGGTGGATGGAACAGTAGTGATACAAGGGGTTAAACTAGCAGCCTCCCTGTAGCTGCCTTGACCAGTGATGTCAGGCCAAAGATTGAGGAAAGAGAGCCATGAGAACTCATGCCATGTGCCACTCTCTTATCTACCCCATGTTTCGTTCCTGTGATGCCACAGGGCATCGGCTTGCTGCTGGAGCACACCCAGTGCATTTCATTAGCTGGCACTGAGCAGCAGTTGAAGGGCTGTCAGTCTGCTCAGCACCTCTGAGATGCTAATCCTGAGGTAGCTTTCTGAATGACCTCTTAATAAGCTAGCTAACGCTGTGTGTACATAGGTAGAGTATTACGGCAGTATGTAGGGTAAAATGGACCTCTGTTTCAGCCAACTGTTAATGGGGTTTTCTTCACTGACTACAGCCGGTTCTTCTTTGGATCATACCTTCTAAGTATTTGATAGAGCTGCCTTGCAAAGGAAACATGGTCTAGGCAGTTCTGGTACAGAGGTTCGTTTCCTCAGTAGCTCCTATGCGCCCAGCTGAGCTGTTGGCCTCACAACTGCAGGCTCAGCTGGCTGCGCGCTGCTTTGCAGAGTGCAGAGGTCGCACACCACTTCTTATTTCCATTGGTATGTATGCTAGGCTGTGGCTTTCCAGATCATTTTATTAAGAGCGCTCATGACTGAAGTCAGCTCCTAACCCTTTTTAAACCTCTTCAGAGTTGATCCCCTTTGAATTGGATTAATAATCTGTGCAGTCAGATTTGAAAAGTTGAATTAAAGACCAGAAAAAAGCACTTAGAAGATAAGGGCTTCTGATAAAATGGCTAGTGTTAGTTTGTAGGATAAAAGCATGTTCTGTAAGTCCAGGCAACTGGACATGTGTGTTCCAGGAAGCTGTGAGTTGCAGCCTCAAAGAAACAACAGCAATCATGTGGTTTTCCTGGGATCCTGTTGTGCCCTCAGAGGCTCTGGACAAAGAAGAGGCCTGGGTTTGTTTCAGACCGCAGAGGGCAAACTGGGACCCCAGGAATTTAATGTTCTAGGAAATAGAATGAAGGGATGGGGGTGGAATAGAATAAAAGTTTGTGAGAGGTTTGCTTTTTTTTTTTTTTTTTTCTTTTTAATTCTAGAATTTACCTTTTAAGAAAACAGACATCGCATTTTAGCAATCAACGAAATGCTAGAAAATGTCCAGCTTTTATTCTGAAGGAAGACTTCCATTTCTGGCCAGTATTTTCACAGTCTTCTCAGTCTTGTGTTACTGCTCTTATCAGCTGTCGCACCCCCAGCAGAATTTGTGTGCAGCAGCCCTTGCACAATATCTGTGCCTCAGCATGCATATGCAGACCTTTCTCCCCTATGTTTTATTCAGTTGCAGCCTTTGTGCAGGAGGGCATTCTGCTCCTTACACTGTAAACATGCTTTAAGTTTCCATCACCCAAAATGCAGCTTTGCTAAATAGCAACCTCTGGTAAGACTGCAGCCTGGGAAACCTGTGTTAACCTTTTGCTGTGCCTGTTACCTGACTGAAACAGGACAGACGTATGGCTTTCCAGGCTTCAAAAAACCTTAAAGCCAGTTTCCTCACTGCAAACAAAAATAAAATTAAAGAACCCAAATAAGTAGTAAGGACATAATTTTTGTTTACAGAGATATAAGCCTTTATTGTATGCTATTGAAAGCAAGTGGGACATGGCTATGGTTTTATATACAGAGAAGTCTGTGGCGTTGGGTTACAATCAGTGGCGAATGAATTAAGATTACAGTGCAAATAGAGGTGTTGTGTACAGTTTATAACAGTGGCTGGCATGTAAACCACAACACAGAAGTCAAATGAAGCCAAATGTACCGGGTACAGCATCACGTGAGGAAGCAACTCAGTATCCCAAGAGCATTCCATTTACTTTACATTTGCAGGTTTTTTTAGCGAGCGAGTAGATCTAGCTCACTTCATTGAGATTTCTCCTGGTTCGTAAATTACCTGTTGTTAGATCACAGGGCTCTCTTGTACTTCGTTTGGAAGTTTATTTCTGAGTAACTTCTTTTGAGAGACTTAGTGGGAAGAAAGATGGAACTGTCCACCATATGTACATACTTCTGCAATTTGGTGATACTATTTAGATAGTTCAAAGGCCTTATTTTCTTTTATTCAATGCTGTAAGTAATTTAGTGTAAAAATAAACATTCTGTCCTCTGTGGATAAATAAGTCCATCTGGTGGCTGCAGGTCAGCCCTCTCAACTGGTGAAAGAGATTTATAAAAATAGACCTTTGCTTTAGTGTTTACTGTGCTGACCCACAAAGGAAAAGTGAAATTCATTCAAGTCTAGAAACAGAAATACAGTACAAGTGATTTATAGAATTGCATTCCTTCCCTCTGCAAGCTTGCTGAGCATGAAACACTGCTCCAAAGCCCTGCCTCAGTCTTTTCCTGGTCCTGGAGTAACTGTCATTAGAAAAGTAACATCATACTGCACTGCCAGATCACCTGTCTTCCTTGCAGTATGCACTCTCTTAGCAGAGATCTGCCCTCAGATGACTGTTTAAAAATTCTTCAGATGGTGGTGGTGGTAGTTTGGGCTACACAGGGGAGAAATTTTAGCCCAAATTAACAGCAGTTGTTTGAATCGATTCGAGTGGTGGTGATTTTTGGTGGAAGCTCAACCTTTTTTTTTAAACTATTATTTTTATTTTAAGTTTGTAAGTTGAATGTGGAAGACAGCAGCCTTTCCTCAAAGTCATCTTCCCATAGATACCACGTATTTTTGGCAGTACAGGTTTCATGCTCAACTTTGCCACTAAGACCTGGGCAGGACTTTAGAAAGTGTACAGCCCATGGAGATTTGCTCCACTGCATTTAGCACTTTTGAGAATTACCCCCACAGCAGTGTTGCTCTCTTAGAAGTGCAAGTGTCACACAAGGTTCTGACACAGCTGGAGGACAGGTGACATTCTGCAGTAGAAGTAGTAGTTAAGCACCAGTCATTGGCCCCTGCAGAGGCTCAAGAGGAGAACAGAATTGCTTTGTAGAGAGCTCATCAACCTAAAAAGCTTAGTCAGTTTGATCAATAAATATTGATTTAGGGTTAGGATCAGAAATAAGATGCTGTACTTTGGAACTGGAAGACAGAGACAACTTCCTTTATTTTCTGTCCAAAGGAGACTGCCTTTAAAACATTCATCCTTAAAGGCTTTTGTGATATCTGATACATAACTCACTCACACGTCTGAATGTACCTGTACCTTTTTTCAGGGAAGAATAAGTGCATGAGCAGACAAAACTTCAAGGCTTCTTCTGGGTTATTTTTTAAACATCTGTTGTGTGTTCTGTTGGCCCTGAAGGCATATTTACCCACTCTTAAATGATGCAGCATTGCCCAGAGAATGGCTCTGTGTAGTAGAACACGCTCTCAGCAGTATAAGCTCAATTTTGTTCCGGTACATTTCTGTGTAATAATGTGTTGTTGGAGAACTACACTTGACTTTATCCCATTACTTTGAGCAGGGAACTAGTGATGCTAGTTTGAAAACACAAGAAATAATCTATACAGTGAATTAGAAGTTTCATAATTCATATCACTAAATTTCTGAAAGCTGTACTACTCTGAATATCAATGTTCTGCAGCCCACAGCTATTCTGCTTCGAGCATTATCACTCTGCAATTGCTTATAAACAGCCCTTTGTGGGAATAATGAAAGAATAATACTCTGTGCTGAGTTTTACTTGTTCAGTTTGCAGGATGCTCTTGCAGAACTGTAAGTTATACTAGAAGTGCAGGAATACACACATTTCTGTATGCATAGATCATTAAATTATAACAGTACCAGTAGTAAAGCAAACCTGCCAAGATGTTCTGTTCCTCTTAATTAAGCTTGATCTATTTGTGCCTGCTGACTTAAGATGCAGTTAGTGTCCACTGCTGAGATGACAAAGTACCCTGAGTAGCTTTGTGATGGTTATGCTTACAGAAGCTTGTGCTTTTCTAAGAACATAGAAATGAGCACAAATAAATAAGTACATCTAGTTATTTCCATAGAACACTATTAATCAACTTGTTCACAGCAGCTTTGAAGTACAAAGCTAAAACTTACCTTCTGCTCTACTCCCTTACAGATTAGTGTTATAATTAAACTTGCTGTTAGCTTAATGTAAGTGGATAGAGTTTCAAAACAGCTTTCATGGTAAGATGAACCTACTTTGTTATAGTTATACCAGTATTAGTGATCTGAAATTCATACATTACAACTGTAGTTCTGGAAGCAGTATCTGCTTTCCTTTGTTACTATTCTATTCTGTGCAAGAGCAAATTGTCTAGAATATTGTACAAATAAGTTGCTAGGATTCCCATACTAGTGTACCGCATGGAACAGTCTTCCCATCTGGATTGGGTTCCATTGGCAAATAGAATTTGTTCACTGGATTTCTCCTGTTTCTCCACCTCCTCTTTTCATTACCTGCTTATTTACAGAAGTGAAAAAAAAATATAATCTGCTGCAGCAGCTTTTAGCTTGTGACATGGATAGCTTAAGCCTCTTACCTAATTTCTTGCAAACTATAGGAAAAAAACCCAGTACCGCCTCCCATTGCTCTTAGTTTACTAAGGCTGCTGATTTACCATAGTAGACAAACCTCATTTTTTTACTGTAGACTGGTATTTATGGCTTTGGAAAAGGCAGTTCATCTTTCCCACTAACTTGCTGTCTGTTATACTTAATGTCCTCAAACTGGAACATTCTACCTTCATTTTTTCCTTCTCTCTCTCTCTCTCAGTGCATTCTATCAGGACCAGGTGTGTTCAGCAAGCAAACGTGTTCAAGTAGAAGCTGCACTGCACCTTGTAAACTGCAAAGTGGCTTATGGTAACTGGAACTTGTAGATTCAGGTAAGAGGCAGGAATTAGGCATTAAGTCCATATGCTATTTTGGACTTACTTTTTAATTTATTGCAAGTCTTAACTCATCTCGGCTCCCCTGTTCCAATGGATGACTACATTCAATTAATGTCCTTTAGAATTAGTTGATTTGTCATAGTAGAGATAAGAGTCTAGAGATTTTGAGAAACATGCAGTGCTGGGCAGCTGAATTACATTTTCATTTTTGTTTACACAGCACAGAAGAGATTGTACCTTTATCTTCCTGCCACAAAACTTTCAAGTTGGAAATTTGATACCTTCTGTCTCAATCTATGGCTAACATTTTTATATGCTCTTTAAATTCTTTAGCTCCAATTTATCAATGGATTATTAATTAAACATGCAAGAGAACTCTCCCACTGAAACTTCAGTTGTTGCTACAGTTCCTGTAGGCTAGTTCAGTAACATCATTAAAGTTCCCTTAACCACTAAACTACCTCTCGTACAGCATATTTAACAGTAGAGTACAAAGAGTTAAGGCACCAAATACATAACAAAATAACATACAAAATAAGAAATTTGCTTTTGAGCTGCACATCTTCACTTACCACTTTGGATCATTCAGCTCCTCTTAAGCGTCAAGGTAAATATTTGGCCTGAATGTTTCATTTAGCCACATGAACTGGAGACAAAACACTGAATTGAATCTTACACTGAAGTGAATTTTTCTCTCACAAAACTCATAGAACAACTTTTGCTAAGGCATTCAAATGCCTGTGCGGTGTCAGCTAGGTCTAGCAGGAAGAACACCCTCTTCTGAAAAACCCCAGTCTGCAGGCGCAAGGCTGTGTGCGTCCCATCATGTTTCTGTGTTTCCTATTACCTGTCTTACTGCTTGCACGCAACAGATGAATCACTACCATTTCTGTGAGTACAGTGGGAAGCGGCAAGGTATTTCAGGGTACTGAAGAGCCTGCACATAAATAGGCATGGATTTAGACGACAAATTATTAAGCTAAAGAGACATAATTACAGGGCTGAGAAACAAATCACAGAATGGTTTGGTTTAGAAGGGACCGTTAAGATCATGTAGTTCCATCCCCCTGCCATAGGCAGGAACACCTCCTAGGGATCCCTGTGGATCCTCTGGGGGCATCCACAGCCTCGCTAGGCAACCTGTTCCAGTGTCTCACCACCCTTCCAGTAAAGAGTTTCTTCCAGCTTTATAATCAGCTTTATGATGAGAATTCTCTTAATGTCAAACAATTACTAGTTTAAATGGTTAACATTCTAAAGAAAATATGAATGAAAGCTGCTTCATAACCCATAAGCACTGGGTACTGAGTTTCTTCAGTGAATCCTCTAAAATGACTTTAACAGAATTTCTGCCTTACAGTAAGGATCAGTTTAACAGCAAATCAGATCTGTTAAAACAGAGCAGTGAAACCAGTGAGTTGTTAGACAGACTGTCTTGTACTGTAGATAGTGCATGCAGCTGTGATACACCTTTGCTTCACTTTGAACAAGTCAGTAAAGTATCTCATTTTTCAGTACTGTTTTTTTTCCTTTTTTTTTTTTTTTCCCCAACAGGAAGCTTGCAAGGGTTTGTGTCCCAAACATTCAGTTACTGCTTCTTCATACAGTACAACTGCACTGAATGGAATTTCTCAGTGAATCCAGCAGAGAGCTTATTTTCATTCTTTTTTTTTTTTTTTTTTTTTTTTTCCAAATGAAAGGTACCAGCAATCTGAACATAACTCATTCAGAACATATCTCATCATGTATCCAAAAGAATCCAATCCTTGTAGAGTTCCTGTGCTGTTTCACAGAGCCTCAGGAAGTAGAAGCCTTTTCTGTGAGCTGCTTCTGTGATTTGGAACTCACTTGAGGGTGGGAGGCAGTTTTTTCTCTTTATTAATTAAAATGCATCTGTCTAAAGAGAATTTAGCTAAATGCACTAAGTAATAATGCACAATTATTGCATGTTAGCCTGTGGAGCAAAGGAGGCAAAGAGAAACTTAGAATCTTGTCTAAGACTGAAGTGCTGTTTGCTATTTGTTTATACAGTTCAGGGATCTCCACTAGACTGTGATGATCCACTGGTTCTTAGAAGTACAAATGCAGAAGTATAAAGGAAGCAAGGACAATGTGTTTCTATGCTATTTCTGTCAGGGATCGCTGACTGAAAATACCGAGGCATACAGACTGGTTTTCTGAGGACATGGCTGGACTGGATCAAGGATGGTACACTAAAGCTGCTTGCGTTTATGAGTTTTTGAATTGCAGGGGATTGATGTCCCACAGCTGAGCACCTCCAGCCTGGAGATCTCTTCCCCAGGCCACCTGTAAAGTTTCCATGCCACTCCTCTTTCTGCCTGGTAACACAAGAAACTCAGGGTAGGGAAGTTTTGCTTCGCAGTCCAATTAAAGGAAAAACACACAAATAATTTTGGAATTGGAAAAGATACACTTTAAATCTTTTTTCCTGCCAGAAGGCAAGTGTTATTAAAGAAAGATCAAAGATATTAGAATAGTTGTCACAGATGTTTGCGTGAGTAGAAATAGTCCCTCAGCAAAGGGATGACTTTCTAGGAAAACTTGCTTCCCTGGAACTCTTTGTATGCCAATTAAAAGCATTCAAGAATCTAGAAACATATACAGAAAATTCTGTAATTCAACAGAATCAGTTATTTACAGGGATGTTAGAAGGAAATTTGGAAGAGGTAGGCACAAAAAACAGTAGCAAGGGTATTTAAGTAAGTGCAATGAAAGTTATGGCAGCAGGGTCAGCAGATCCACGACACATTCAGCAGGATCCATGACAATTGCTGAATCATTTTATTAACTCACATTGGCTACATGACAACAAATTAGACAGATCAGGAACCACCTACCCAGGCACTAAATTGTCGTTGTGAGAGTTGGACTGTGTACTGTGTCCAACAGAAACTGCTTGGGCAACAGAGGCTGCACATTACACAGACTCTTCATGGATAGAGGCTGGCCTCCCTCCATCTGTGTGGCTCAGTGCCCAGGAATAAGGTCACCGTGGTCCAACTCCTGAATGTGCGCTTAAGGAAGTCAGCAAGCCCTGGCAGAGGGAGGACATGGTGGCAGGAAGCATCGTGCACCATGCTTTCACCTAGCCAAGTGCTTTCACTGTTACTCAGTTCTGGTTCTGTAACGTACAAGCTTTCAAGCACAGGATGGTGATGGAATAGATCTCGAAAGGTTTATGCAGATTTTGATATAGTGTTTGTATAATGTACAGGTAAAACACTTGCTCAAGACGGCAGTGCACTTCCCAGTCATTCCAGTTTGAAAGCCATCTCTGGACAGAAAATGCCTGTAGAAATCTGACATGGCTGGCAAAGCAGGATTTAAGTTCCCTTGTGAAAAATATATAATTCCTTCAAAATACAGAGTTTCATATCTGGGTAAATTGACAAGCATTCCAGCTGCCACTCACCCATTAGGAAGGAAAATGGTGAAGAATGGTTAGCAGTGTACAGGATCTAGGGATTTTCATAGGTGAAGACTGCTGTCATGCATGGGTAACTCAGCAGGCTGGTTATACTTTTCTCTCTCACGCAGCTCCATGAAATCCAAATTGTTATAAAGGGAAAGTAAGTACCTGCGTGATTACAGGTTTGTACTCAAGAGCAGCTAAAGGCAAATAAATCTTAACAATGGAATAGTCTGCATTTTAATCTCTCAATTCTGTAAATAGCTTTACTTCTCTCAGTGTCAACCAACCAGGCCACTCAAGCTCACGTTTTTCTTCTGAAGTCAGCGTAAATGCTGCTTATCTCCAATCCAGACTGCACAGGCCAGTTTTTCATTGTAAAGTTCTGGTTTCTTTTAATCCTTTAAGTGCCAGACATCATCTCCCAAAATACACACTGTTAGCATCTGGTTAGCTAAAACTAGAGTTAAGGTGGGAAGTGAATGGATCTTTCCCAAATGTCCTATTGATATGTAGGAGTTGAAAGGTACTTTTCGGAATTCTTTCTTTTTCATGAACCAGAAGTTCAAACTATAACGTTTTTTGCTTCACAGACATGTTACTACAAATTGACAAAGACAGCAGCTACACAGAGCACATGGAACCAGTTTCCACATTTTACTGCTGGGTGTATCTAGAAAGACACAGCTCAGTAACCATCAAATAGCAGACCTCAGGCTCACAGAAAAGGCACTTCAAACATGCTCCCGTGAGATGTCTTTTAAAAAGGCAATGAGCAAGTATTTATGCAAAAGAAAGCAGATTCTATTTCTGCCTTAGAGTAACAGTGGTTGTTGCAAAATCGATCGAGCAGCTGTTATCCAGTTTACTCATCAAATAATAGCCTGGTATTTCAGTTAAGTTAAAAGTTACTCTTAGAATTTAGTCCATAACTATTCTCTCAAATGCTCATGTAGTAGGCATGTGTGGAACTCGCGAGTGACACTTCAGCACATGAATGTTTTGCTCAAGTTCCACCATCAATAGCTGAGGTTCCTGGGCTGTCTTACCAGCCATTTCAAATGGCTTAAAAAAAAACAAACAGATCTAAGAGTGCAATATGTATTTCAACATCAGGAAATGTCATCCATCCTACTGAGAAAGGGTGCAACAAAGCCATGAGGACAAATTTTGGAGGTATCTACTGCTTTATGAGCAAAAACATACTAAAGAAATTCAGTGTCTTTTCAGTGAACAAAAGGAGAAGATCCAAGAAAGTGAAGATTCCAGGCAAAGTAGTAAGGGCAGAATGGTTAGGGTAAAGCAGTAATGACAGAAAAATGTGGAAGTTCACAGGAAAACAATGCTGATGGAAAGCGATAGACAGAAATGAAGCTGCCAAATACAGGCCACAAAAGAAAGATCAAAGAAGTTAGCAAGACATCTCATTATTCAGTTCTTGAACTGGACAGATGACTGCTTGTCAGACTGTAATCATTCTGATTTAAACCTAGGAAAGGAATACTCAAGAGAAGTTCATTATAATGCACCATAACATTGCCTTGAAGCATATACAATACTGTCTTCCAGAGGAAGCAGAGCAGCCTGCTGCTCCACTATCAGGATTGCTTAGCCTGACAAGCTGAAAGAATGAATTGAATTTTAAATGAGCTTCAGACCAAGCCCTGCGTTTGCACCTTGAAGGTAACAGAAGATGAAAATCTGCACCACCAAATAGGAAGCACATCCTGATGGCTCATCAGTTGCACCTGCAAATGTAATCAAATGGCTGTGTGCTTTAACAGGCAAGTCATGGTAAAGTTCCTTAGTTCATTTAGTTCATTCACAATGAACTAAAAGTTCATTTCCTCCAGTGCAAGCACATAGGCCACTTGCATGGTCAAGTTTCCACCAACATTAGCTAAACTAACAAAATTTGACAGCTATTTTTCTACATCAGCCTATGAATTTTACCCAGACATATCCTCAATTATGGAGAACCTACATATGCAGTTATTTACCGAGTTTGATGTTTTCAATTTTGAAATGAAATACAGTTTGTTTTTGGCATTATATTTTGATGCAAAATAACAAGCTTTGGGTCTGATTTACTACTACATATTTCATACCAAGTATTTTTCTAATTTTGTACCAGTATGAACTGTGATCAGTCAGGGCTATTTAATGCTTTCATCTCTGAAATGAGACCCTAAAATGTTAATACATCACCCCACTCACCCCGCGGGGGGCGGCCCCCCCCCCCCTTTTTTTGAATATAAAAACAGTTGTGTCCAGCAACTTCAAGTGCTGCAAGTATTGCAGTTGAGGAGCACTGTACTATGCAACTTTGCATAATGTAAGGTTATATAAAAGCAAATTAAAAAAGTAACTATTTTAAAACTACACGTATCATGTGCACCATATAAGTCGGAAACCATTTTCCCCTGTGTAAAACATTAGTTAAAACATCTACTTCAGCACTGAAAATATTTATGGATGTCTCTATTTTCATTTCTATCTTTAGAAAACTACAGCTGAACAATTTATTCATGCAGGCTTAAACCCTGCCTGCTTGCCTTCCCATCTCCTGCTGTGCCCACTAGAGGAAAGCAGATCGGCTGCTTTGTGAATTAACTTGGCCTAGTGCAATCTGATCTCTGCAGATTTAAACTGTAATAAATATCAAACTTCTTCATTCTTCATTTGGAGTTCAGCTTTAGTAGTTGAGGGAGATAATTTCTCTCTTACAAGTTAGATAGCGTTCATATTCCACCTGGCATTTTTATTTCACATCCCTGTCACCTTGGTGTGGCTTTCAGCGCAGGCCGTGGCTTCAGTACCTACCCGAATGTTTTCAGCAAGTATGCAAGGAATGCAGTGCCTCGCACACAGCACTATCAGTACAGCTTTCTAGGCTGTGCAAAAGGATATGTGAAGTACAACAGTCTGCTGATAAAACCAAACTATTTCTTAAGTGCATTAAGTAATATTTTCTCATTAAACTCAAAGCAGAATATTTGAACTGGCCTTGACAACGTAAAAAGTTGGAATTCAGACCTAAGTATTACTTGTTTAAACACAGAGTTAAATAATAAAAAACGTACCATATACAAGACTTTCACAGGTAAGTGAGGTTTCTAGGAAAAAAAAGCAGTAAAAATACTTTTTAAGCTGAAAATAAAATCTCTTACCTTTTATATCACGATCTCAGCTTACAGTCATTAAATTTCTGCTTATTTTATACAAGTGCATATGGCTATGAAGGTCCGGAGAGAATGAGAATAAAGTGGTATTAACCTGCTGAAAGCTGCTCAAAAGTCTTAACTGCAATATATAGATGTTCCAATACCATTTACATAAGCAAAGACATTTACCTTTCAGTTATTGCTGATTACTGATTCACAATCTTAGAGTATCAATAAACAAATACTTAGAAGGAAAAAACCCAACTAGTAAATAATAGCAGCAAAGATCCTGATCTGGAGATTGACCAGATACTACATTTTCCTATCATTTGGTGATAATTTTCAGAGACACAAAAGCAACTATTTCAAAGTCAAGTTCAGGCCTACCCTTTTTGTGCCTCACATTAATGATGTGGTAAAGAAAGAGAGAGAGAGAGAAAGAATAACTTTTAGTTATATTTTGGAGAAGAATATACTACATTTTCCTGGCTTTTTGCTACATTTCATGTGTGCTGACATGTACAATGGTACAAAGCACTACTGCTTCAGAATTGACCACTGTAAGTCTTTGTAGCAATTTGTATAGGAAACATGCAAATAACCATAGTATTAAAATTCTAAAATACTGAAGTATGGAAAGTCAATGCAGGATTCACTGCTGAAAGCGAGCGCCCTGCTGGGTCTTGTTTTGTTTTTCCCTCCCCCTTAAGCCCACCCCTTCTAGACCAATCTTTCTCTCCTAATGTAAAGAAAATAACCAGAAGTATATACACATCTATTGCTATGTACCCAAAGAAAGGACTGTGGCTTGGAGTATTGCTTTTCATTAAATGGAACAAAGTTCAAGAAGTGAGAAAAGCACTTTGGAAGGAAAAAAAAAAAGGAAAAATTCAGATTCCATGTCTGAAGTTGAGAAACCTCAAAACGAGCCACTTTTGTTCTTGCTTTTAAGACATGTACAAAATGCCATTTCGAGCCACACAACCTGATGGTTCTAGAAGTCAGAGAAGAAATCTTGAGGGCCCAAGTGAATAATAAAAGGTGCGATGCTGAGAGGCTGGCAATAGGGACTGTCAATGAAAAAACCACCTACAGTGGGAAAAGAGCAGAGAAGCAAAACTTCATGTTAATTTCAGAGAGTGGCTGAAGCTAAAGCTCCATTTAAATTTCTCTGCTCTTTCAGCTGCAAGTGGAATTTTCATTGTAAAATGGGCACTTTGAATTCTGTGAAGGTATTGAAACATCTAACACTGTCCAAGGTTACCACTTTCTAAACAAAGAACTGACAGCTCATTCATATTTCCAGTAAAGCAGAGAAATGTAAAATATGCAGCAAGGGGGGCAAGTTTACAATGTGGTTAGTAACTCCCAACAAATGACAAAAAAAAAAAAGACTTTTATCAATTGTCTGAAATGACTGCCATCATGTTGGAAAAGAGCATAGCGCCCTCCTTGTTTTGAAATAAGGAACAAGTTCTTTGGTATACAAATGTTTATTGTATACAGTTGGTTCAGACATTATTTTGTTAGAAAATTTTACAAATCTGGGGATTATTGAAAAAGAAAACAGTTGCCAATTGGGAACTCCAAAATGGGCCGGGGGGAGGAGGGGCGGGAGGGAAAGGGGAAAAACGTGTGCAGAGGAAATATTCCTTTAATGAATATTTGATTAACAAAAATGGGCTCTTATCAGCCATGCTTTTTCTGCTCCGTGATGGCTTCCTTTCATCCATAGGCCAGCAAAATGTGTTGGTGATTTATGAGCACCACTCAATTTGGTTACATCCTCCAGACCCTGCTCTTTATTTCAACACTAATGCGTGTATGACAACAGCAGGCTCATCGCTGCTTGTCAGTAGATCTTCATTTTTTATTAAAGTACCACCAGCACCAAACAAAAGTGAGAGCTACAGCAGAAGAAAAAACATTTAAAGATAGAAATATTTCTAAGCACAAATACTTAGCTTCACAGCTGCAGTTAATTCTAAGAAGAGCAGCTTGTTATGTAAGCCACCCCTTATTAAGCTGTTGTGTAATTTCTTTCCCTGTAATGGAGAGGATGGAGAAAAGGAGGAACTTTACATTGCTTTAAGCAGTTCTTAGATCCTCTTCATAAATAAAGCACCCCTCTGCCTCAACAGCGAAGTCTGTTGGGGAGCAGTGCATAAGACAGTCTTGAAAAGAGCATGACCTAAAGCAAACCTCGGGAAGAACTACTGGTGAGGTCTGAGAAGTACAACCGCAGTGCTGCTTATTTTGTGGGGGTGATACCTTAATAAAGACTGCTTGAAGCCTACAGAAGGTTTTGTGCATAATTCTAAAATGCATGGAGACAGCATGGAGCTGGGACCTGTCTGGGATCCCAGGACAGGTGTGCACGCTCCTTAATCTGAGAAGAATTCATTTGGTTTGAGCACTAACTTAAGAAAAGTACTGGCCTATGGCTGAAGTGTGTCACTTTCCACAGCAGCACTCAACAAGAACTGGGACAATTAAATAGCAAGTTTTCATGGGGACCTTGTTGCTGCTTTAGATTCTTGTAAATGTAAGGGGAAAAAGGAGAACCTTTTGTTTTCATAAGAAATTAACAAATAAAACCCTTACTGAAAAAATAGTGAATGGAAAATCAAGGGTGGGCAGACAATCTTAAGAGTGAAGAAGGCCACAAGAACAATTGCATTTTTTTTTCTTTTTTTTTTTTTTTTTTTTGGTAAAAAACGAAAGGAAAACAAGCAGTTTTTGAGTTCTAAAGAATCTGACTGTAATGTTATCGTTGTCCTTTCTCTGGGCAATACGGACTTAATTGTGTATAGCTGTAATTACATAATGAGTCCTTTTGTGGGAAATTCCATTGTTGTTTTTCACAGAATGTAACCTAACACAAAGAGACAGTCTAAGATTAATTCCCTTTGTTTGTTTTTCAGTATTCTGTATACAAATGAAAAATCTTGGATAATTAAGACTGAAGTCACTGAGAATTTCAGTATGCTGACTTTAAAGGTTCTAAGGAAACTCAGGTACTGATGCTTAGCTCTATAAAATAAAACAATATCTAACCCGTATTTTACTAAGTTTATTACAGACCATAATATTTACAAACTTGTATTTTAACTGTGAAGTTTCTGTTGTGTGGTTGTTGGTTTTTTTTAATTTATTATTATTTTTTAAAGAACTACGCCCTACTTTAAGACTTTAAGTAACCCTACAACAAGTACAGGTCATTAACTGAATCTGTGCGACTGCATTAGGAAACAGGCAGTACTCTTGTGTTACAACAAAACAGTTTATTTGTGATCAGTGTTTTATATTCTATACATCCTTCACAAATTTAATTTTACATAATTGGATACTTCATTTAAAACGTAAGGTTTAAGCTTCTAGTTCTTCCCTATAACAGAAGGCTGGTATAAGTTATTTGAAAATGAGGTAACATTTCACAGAACATTTTTTTTCAAGTTTTAGAGAACTAAATTTGCATTTTGTTAAAATCAAAAAGTAGGAAAAAGATGTTTCTTTACAAATGACTTTGCTCAAGTATGTGTTCAAAGGAAACAGGATAAAAAGGCTTTTTTCTTCTAACATTCTGTACTGTACTGTGTTGTTCAATCAATAGGAATTAGCTTCTGCCATTTGCTAAAAGAATGAGTAGTGGGGAACAGGATAAGTTGGGAATTTCATAACTGGTAACAGAACCATTCTCTTGGGTAAACCTACAGAGAGAAAAAAGGGAGAGGACTCCAAATAAGTTCAGTGATCCAAGAAAGTCAGATAAGAGCTTATAATCACGTTTGCATTAACCTTTTTCCAAATCAATCCATGTCATTTTAGGGTGCAGAGTCTCAAACAGTAACATTTCAACGCTTTGTGCTATTTCAAACAGATGGTTAGCATTAAGTTTGCTTTTATTTTCGTCCCTGTATTTTGTAAAATTAAGCAGTATTCTCAAAAGAGAATGTGTTTTGTTGAAAAGAGATTGAATTTTAACTCTCATTTTGAAATAGCTTCATCTCTACTACCTCATTCTGTTTTCTAACTTCATAGCCCAGTTACAGCTGCAGATATTCTAGACAGGAACTGCTATGCATAGAAGAAAATTCACAGGGAAACTGCAGTTCTGATAAGCATCTGTGTAGATCAGTCAGAAATCAAGCACCTACAGTAAATTCTGTATCTTCTTTGTTTTGCATTTGCTATCCTGTATTGAAGTTGCAAGTCTGGAAAGATTAATATATGCCTGATTTCATGATTATTATAGAGTTCTTGTGGCCTCACAAGCTTCTGCACAATTAAATGCTTTTTAAAAATATTCTTTCCTATTTATATACTAGTTTTTAACCTACGTATCCATTTAGAAATCACAAAGCAGCAACAGCAGGTATTCCAGAGCATCAAATGATCAAAGTGAAGTTTCCCAACATGCAACAGCTTACAAAGGCAGAGAGACGTTTACCTTACAGCCAAAAAGCATTATCCCAGTACTTCGCATCACAGTCATCAGACATTAAAAACAGAAACTCTTTATGTGAAAAATGGGGGCATCCAATTCCACAACGCTTTGAAGTCAGTGATATGTCACATATACACAAATAAGTGATTAAATCCAGCTCCCAAAATAAGCATCATGAGAAAAACATGAAACAGAAGGAACGAAGAAAGTAATATAAGAAGCCGCAAGTGAAAGTCACTGCAGAACATTGGTAACAGTTCTGTCTTCAGCTGGGAAAGGATTTGTGTTATGTCACTATATGCTCTGGCTTGTAAAAATACATATGGGCAGGTATCTAGTGATGTAGGCTATAGCCAGTCACTACAGGTTGGAAAGAAGTAAAAGGATTCTTTTTTTAAATGCATGCCATGAAATAAGCTATAAACTTAATTCCCTTTTACTTTTCCCTTGAAAAAACATGAAAAAAAGGTCAGTGTACAGAACACACCAATAGGAAAGCACAGCTGTCAGCTGCCATTTTTCAAAGCACTTGGCCAGTCAGTGAGACAGGATTTGCAGAGCTAGAGAGGTTTACTTGAATTTACAAGGGAGAATTCCACACTTGTAAGTGCAGCCCACTGTCCACTGTACTTCCCCTTTCCACTGTAGAAGTATAGAATAGGACCAGCCAGTCTTAGTCAAGCAAAGTGAATATTTTCAATAAAGCAGCACCATTTTTCCGATGCTTATAGCTCATACCTCTAAAAGGAAGTGATGAAATAAGTATTTGAAACTGTTTCTAACTTTTACAATGCTATCTGGGGAGTTGGTATTTTCCAAGCTATACAAATTGGAAAGGAACAACTATTATAAATATGACAAAAGCTAGGAAATAGGAATGCAAGTGTGGTTTCCCATGTGAAAAAAAACCTGCAGACTTTGAAATGTACCCAGCTTGTCATCTGAGTAGCAGGATTTCCCTCCTGCTCTGTGACAAGTGAGGACACTGGTACCAGTTCTAGTAGATGCAGGGTTTGTTTTTTTGTGTGCCAGGACATATCACTGACTCCAAACTCCTTTGCTCCCATTAGCACATAAACCTCATTCAAAGTAACCAAAAGGGCCAGATAGAGATAAATCTGCTATGTTAGTCTAGCATTAAAAAAAAAAAACAAACACAGGTGAGTAGGGAGAAGTTGAAGTAAGAAAAACCTTTCCCATCATTGCTAAATTTTAGTTTATTTTACTGTCTTCACGAAACCAATCCTTTACCAGCCTGATTTTACTGCATTTCTTAGTAAAAAGCATTGTGGCAAATGACCATATACTACCATCCTTGCAGCCTAATCACAGTATAAGCTACACAGAATCATTCTGTTTGTCCCAAGTAGCAGTGGTTTTAGCCTGCAGCAAGGGGGTGTGCTTGTTGGGGATTGGCTTGTGTATGCACACAGACTGTACTGGATATTTCATGGAGTTGCCTATAGTAAGGGAGCTTAGTCCACAAGCCAGTTAAACTTGTAGACAAATATTTTGCCAATGATTTTAATGTCACTTAGATAAATATTGCTCAGAGATGCTGACATAGGCCCTTCGGTAGTCTTTGAATGGAGCACAGATTGGCTGTAAAAAGTAAGAAAACTACTTCAGTTTCAGTATGAGAGGGAACAGGCAATTAGAACAAGCAGTCCTTCCACAAGATCAGGCAAAGCATAGGCAAAAAAGCTACTCCAACCAAAAAAGAACCACAAGGTTATGGCATAGAAGTGTTCTTGTAGTCACAGTTTAAGAGCTTTAATCTCTTAAATTTCTACTGTAAACCCTAAGCCAGCTTGGACTGCCACATTTGGACTGGCACAAGAATTTCTGTGTATTTTCTAATTTGTTAATTACTGGGCTGTACGTACCGTAAGCTGGTGCAGCTGTACTGTACCCATACGGTGCTCCATAGCCTGCAATACAAACAGATGAGGGATGCATTTCATTTCCCCTGGTAACTGCAGACAGTTGGTGTTTGCACACCAAAACACATGTACCCTTTCTGGTGCATAGCTTTTCTTCAACTTCCACAAGAAGGAAGGTAGTGCTAGATGCCTGTGGCAGATGCCGTGTCATTATCAGTGAAGTTCCTATGTGAATTCAGCACTTTCTGATACTTGACAGCCAAAAGAAAGTTTCAGAAAGAACATCTGAACATCTAGATGCAAACAGAACAGGAACCTTTTTCCAAAGAGGTAGGCGTTACTGTGGAGTGAGATACAGAAACAGTGCATAACACCAATCTTATAACAACATCTCAATAATTGAGGCTTTACAGGCTGTGTCCCTCACCTGCTTTATCTGGTGGGATTACTTGTCCATCACAAAAAGCAACAGATTTCTGAGAAGAGGATGAAGAGAAATACTGTGTGTCGGCCAAGACCAATAAAAGCTTAAAACTGCAATGACTGGGAAATTAAACCTATTCCTGGAGTAATTCCATGCTGGCAAAGAACATGCCCCTGACAGGTTCAAGTGTCTCATAAATGACTCCTCAGGCAGAAAGACAGTTCCAAAACCAATGTTAACAGCCATTAAAAATGAATTACTGTTTTTTTAATATTTATGATTACATCAACATGCAGGAACAATGAAGACATCATGCTGTTTTACTGCGTTTTACTGTGCCAAGACGGAGGTCTACCAAACAACAGGGCTTTGCTATTGGTGTGTGTGAATAGCTGAAATTAGAACTCATACTGTAGTCTGAAAAGGAGAAAGTGAATATTAAAATTTTCTTGCAGTTCTGTAACACTTTACACTGCGTCTTTCAAACCTACTTGCAATCTGCTGGTTAAACAACCAACCATCCGTCACTATATTAGATGGGTCTAGTGAGTCTAGTAGCTGAGCACCTAACCTTTCCAGCTTAAACAATTTTGCTTCTGATGGTTGCAAATCTGCCCTGAAGAATCAGCAGTAAGGTAACCTGATTAACAACTCAGTTTCTCTATTCAGTAAGTATGACACACAGATGTGAACTGCGAGGCCTCTACATTCCAAAAGATCCAGTGCTCACTGCTAACCAGAACAGTACAACCAAGATGATAAATTAACATCAGCCAGAGTACAAATGGAAATTCTTTTAATTATTTTTTAATCACTACAGAAGGTAATGCTAGATGCTGTGCTTGTATGCCAGATTTCTATGGACAACTTCTGGGATCACAGTGACTCCTAATCGTGCCAGATTTATCCCTGCAAGAAGTTCTTAAGAGGGCCACTCATAATGCTAAAGGTCCATGTCCAAGAGATTCCTCACTTAGGAAAAAAGCTTTGGGAATTGTGCCATAGCAGAGAACTACGGAAAAAAAAACCAACAGAATAAAGCCCAGAAAGCTATTGTGGGGATAGCTGTTTTCTCTTACTCTGTGTACATGGAGTTCCAGGTTGCAGACTTGTGAAGGATAAAGTACTGCCAGTTTTGGAGCTCTGATTTATTTAAAACCCCAAGAATTCTCTCTTTTGCTTTATCTCAGATGACTGAAGCTGAATAGGTGACTAACACACAGAATGGAAGACACCAGCAGGCAGAATTGAGTGCCATGCCTTACCTGGTGTTAAGTATCCAGTAGCAGCAGCTGCCCCAACAAATGCACCTCTTGTTAAAGCACCTCGTCCTCTACCTCGCACAGCCTGGACTGCTGCAGAAACAGCTGTATTGACAACTCCTTTAGCCTGCTTGGAGTAATAATAATACCAATTCAGAATGTTAAACATTGCTGGAAATACAGGACCATCTACATTAAATCACTATCTTTCCTGAATGTCTTTAACCATGCATGATGCACTGTCCTTGCTTAAGGCAGAGTACAGAATAGAAAAGTTATGTCAAAAGAATGACTGACAGAAACTGAGTCCCTTCAGCAAACACGTTCTTGTTCTAAATCAGGATCGTGTTCACCTTACTCAGACCTTGTAGTCAGCACGATCAGGCTGTGTTTCATTTTCCAGAGTTCTGGTTGTGTGGTCTTGACCTACCCCAGTCATTTCTGCACCTTTCTTTGGTATGCCTCTCTGCTGTCTTTCCCTACAAACTGCCTCTTGCTGATTCACAAAAAGGCCTTTGCTTTTCTCCTACCACCCTGAATCCATGTATCTTCAGCAGGGTCAGGACTTCACTGCAAAGACAAATCACCACCTCACAAACACTAGACTGCTTTAGATCAGCATTTTCTTTTCCACTGTCAAAAGATCTCAGAATACTGCAAGGAGTTGCAGAAACTGTTACTGCTTACTGCATCAGAGCAGAGCTTAGTGTTACTAGATGCCCCCTTGGCTGTCTTCTAGAAACACTGTAAAATCCTGCATATCCTGTCTGCGGAACATTATCCTATGAGGTAGTATTTTTCTGATCTTGTAAACTTTCAGCACAGTAATGAAAATTGAAATGCTCCTAACCAAAAGTCTTAGTAAAACGAGGAGGATTGTGATTAGTAATAGAACGAAGACAAAGAGTTGACTTGTCATTTAAGTCTATTCTATGATACATTCTGCTCCTGAAATGACAAGAAAATCCTAATGTTAATGTATTTGTACAAAAGAGACCCAGATGGTAGTTGGTAATCCTCATGGTTTGTTTGGTTTTTTGTTTTTTTTTTTCTCCTCTGTCAGCAGTTCTCTGTAGGAAAGACACTTGATAGTTTCTGCTCTGTTCAACCTTAAACTTGAGTGATCATTGGGGCTGTTAAACCTAATGGACAAGACCAAGATTACTTTTTGTTTGTTTTCTTAAATTTTAGAAGTGTTTTTCACTAAATGAAATCTCATTTGCAAAGTCTTGTACAGAAATCTCAGCCTACTCCAGAACCTAGAATCATAGAATCATAGAATCACCAAGGTTGGAAAAGACCTAAAAGCTCATCCAGTCCAACCGTTCACCTATTCCCAATAGCTCCTACTAAACCATGTCCCTCAACACAACATCCAGCCTTTCCTTGAACACCCCCAGGGTCGGTGATTCCACCACCTCCCTGGGCAGTCCATTCCAGTGCCTGACCACCCTTTCTGAAAAGTAATACTTCCTCATGTCCAGCCTGAATCTCCCCTGCCGTAGCTTGAAGCCATTCCCTCTGCTCCTATCACTGATGACACGAGAGCAGAGGCCGACCCCCAGCTCACTACAACCTCCCTTCAGGAAGTTATAGAGAGCAACGAGGTCTCCCCTGAGCCTCCTCTTCTCCAGGCTGAACATTCCCAGCTCCTTCAGCCTCTCCTCATATGGCCTGTGTTCCAGACCCCTCACTAGAAGTAATGCCTTTGCCAAACTACACATGATTTATTCTCTAAGTCTATGTATGTAAGTGATGGCGGAGCACAGTATGCTCTGACAAAGTGTAGACTTCCATGTTATTACTCAACCACTGAACTTACTGTATTTTCTGCAGCTCATCACCACCTCTTTATGCCACCTTTTCTACTGTATTTCCTTCAGTTTAAACTCCTTAATAATATGAAAACATTTCACAGTGGCAATTAGTACTGTGTGGTCCCAAATATCATATTGTGTTGTTATGCTACTGTAGTTACTGTCAAAGAATAAAAGTCAGAAGCCTTACTGTGAGCCCATAAGACAAAACACTGAAATTACTTCCTGTAGAGACTCCTGTATCATAAAAGACACAGAGCTGTGGTAACAGAATGCAAAGCAAGCAACAGTTCTTACCTGGGGAAGAATTTTCTTCTTCTTGTTGTTTGCTGCATTAGGTCCAGAAAACAGTTTCTCAAGTGCTGCTAATGCAGCGCTTGCTTTTGCTACTTTCTTATTTGGGCCTGCACCTCTGAATTTCTGGCCATCTACTTCTACCTGAAAATCGAGATAAGAGTTTATGTCTGTTATATACCCTTGGGAATATCATGCTATACCTGCTGGTCAGCGATGAGACAGCTTCAGTAGTTAAAAACAAGAACGCTGTTGCTTCTGAAACATAATAAAGAATACTGAAGTGATCACATGAACCACTGTTATCACTGAATCAGGAACCTAGAAACTACAACTAGAAGTAAAAGAGGACCAATGTATCTACTTGATAATAAATTTAACCAATATGCTTTAAGTTCAACAAATAAGTGATGCTGCTTGGAAATGGGATTTTGGAGTCAAATTTTGATGCCTCCCTCATCTTTAACAGTGCCTCATATACCAACATCTTTGCTTACACTATACTCATACTATTTATCTGAAGTGCTACCTCATACCTCTTCTAAAGCTCAATGCTACTTCAAATATAGCAGAAGTAGGTGAAGACAAACAAATTTAATCTCTCCCAGTCATTTCAAATGATACTGATGACAACAGAAGATGCAGACTGTAAGGTTACCAAGCATGTTTGTAATGCTTGCTAATCAGATTTTTTTTTTCCCAGGCTGTGGATCTTTTCTCCTACTTATGTCAAGATATGATATGGTTTAGGGCTTTCGAAGTTCAGCTTTAATTCTCATTTTGTTTTCCTAGAGCACAAGAGATTCTTCTGCAAGTCAGGGGAGCAGTAAGAGATACAAAAAGCAAAATAAAATCAAATCTAAACTGTTGCAACAAGCAACTCCAAGAACTGAAGCAGTGTTAGTAAAATCGCTTACCAACTCTCCAATTCTGTTTTGCTCACCTCCATCACAAAGCGCTTGTCGTGGCTTCCCCCTGTTTCAGAGATGAGCTCGTACTTCAGACCTCTTCTTTTTTCATTGAGCTCCATCACTGGATTTTTGCCACTTGCTGTCAGTATAGGACCCTGAGTTCTTACCTAGAGAGACATTCATGGGGTTGATTTAGAGCCTTATGTCCTCAAACAGTGGACAGATATCTGCAGCATTATAGCACACAGTGTCAAGTGGTCAGCCATTTGGCAGCATTTTCAATTTTTAAAGCCTTTGCAGTAGCATTTTGTTCCCAATACACGTCTCACCAGAATTTCCAGGAGCAGACCTGTATCAAAGGTAACACTGCCTTGATAACATGATGCACTAGAACAGGAGATAGAAACTCTCTTTTCTAGCACGATAGCAAGCTAGTGGTTTCAGAGCCTAGTCTGGTATCTACATATCACCAAGCATCACACCAGCTGCACTCAGAATTTAAACCCCCAAGGTATCCAGGACTGAAGTCATGGTGTCAAGTTCCTTGAAATCAAATGCTGATACAGGGGATGCTGGCCTTCACAACCTTGCACACTTCTCTGCTGCTTGATCTAATTACTTTCTGGTGCTACTGAGAGCTCTGACTGAGGAAGTTTCAGCACAGGTCACATGTTGAAACAAATAGATCTAAACACAACCCTCCTTGCTTCCAGATATAAGTGCACCAGCATGTGAGCCTGCATTATAGTGCACTCAGCTACAGGTGCAAATGACCACTCACGAGTAAAGAGTGATGGATTGAGAGAAATTTCCAAACACAAGTTCTAATTTTAAGGATCGAGTTCTAGTGCTAGGAACTGTCCTTTGAAAGTAAATTAATATACTAGAGGCCCATACCACCATGATTTCAGAGATGTTCAGTCAGGACTGCTAAAATTTCTGGTAATTTGAGGAATACTGTATTTAAATTCAAATTATCAGTCTGCAGCCTATGGCAGGACAGGTCTGAGCCTGGAAATTCTTCTATTTCTCAACCACTGCTGTAATTAATAAGTCATCCTCTTCCAGGAAGGAAAGAAAGAAACAAAAACCACTGTATCTCTTCATCACTTTGACTTTTCTATGGACTACTCACCTCTAGGGTAGTAGAGGTGTCAGCTGTAGAATTTCCAGTATTATTGCTTGAGATTGAAGACACTGTTTCATTTTTACCTTCGTTATCTGATTTTTCATCAGAACTCATACACTCAACATCTGCATCAAAACCAGTTGGATAACCCATTGCTTGTAAAACCTACAACGAAAATACAGGTAATTGGCTGTAAAATAGCTACTAGTACAGAAACAAAAACAAACATGGAAGGCTGATCACAAAGGAAGAATGGCCACCAGACTCTTAGTAAAGGCACAGTGCTTAGAAAATGTATCTTTTACACTGAAATGGAGAAAAGCAGAGTAGCTGTAGGAAAAATAGTCCCAGGTTTCCAAAAGTAGAATCAACACAAACAGAAATTTTTGTCTCTTTGTGCTGTACATCTAGCTGAATCTTCAGGGCTCCCAGTTTTCAGAAAGGTCAGATCTAGAAACTGAAACGTTAAGAGTAAGCTCCCTTTTCAGTATGGGAAACCAAGGCCCAGATTTGCCTGGGGTGTAGGGGGAATAGTGAGAGTGGGGTGCTGGCCAGGGAAAGCTAGTCTGCCACACCATCCATTTGTCCTTGGCTTGAATCAGGGATGTTTTTAAATGCAGCCCAGGATATGTGTGTGGAGATAGGGAACAGAGCTGGGTAGGTACCAGCAAAGATCTGTCAAACACGGAGAAGTTCAAGGGCAGAGAAGTTACAGCCCTTCAGAGCAAGCCTTAGCTCCCCTTCCCCACTCCCTGTCTTTTACTTCTCTGCAAACAGCTGCAGGGAGTGAGGTAAAATAAAGGCATGAGGAAGAAAGGAAGGACACACATGCAGAGCTGCCTTTCCTGAGGAACAACACATTCGCTCAGATACTTTTGGACACTTTGAACTTGAAAGCACAAAGGACAATGGGATTTTCAATACTGAAATCAAAAGAAAGCACAAAGTTGCCAGATGAAGCTTCTGAAAAATGCAGTTCTTCTTAAAAACGCACAGAATGACAGATGCACTTGTTTTTACCATAATTGCAGTTAAGAGGTTCTCCTACAGATAATTCATGTGAAAGAAACTTCCCTTTTTCCAGAAACCCAAGACTTGGTGTGCTTTAGTATCTCAGCTACCTCCTTGTCATGCAGTAAAGGTGCTCACATTGGGCATTCCAGTCTACTAATGTTTAAAATACAAGAGCTCTGACAATGTGCAGCACCTACAAGAAGTCAACCAGTGACTGTGTTTCAGTCTCTTACTGAAAAACTGACTGGAGACCAACCACTGTGCATAGTGTTTACCACTGTGCATGAAGGTATTCCAATACTGAAGACAGAAAACAGCTCCTTGTTTCAAGGAGTTCAACTGTCTGTGAACGGAGAGATTTGGAGAAGAAAGGGGTCTAAGAAGGAGCCACCAACATGCTGTCTTCTAATCAACAAGAGCAAGAAGTAAAACGAAACTGACACACAGACACCCCTCCCACCGCTGATGCAGAACTTCAATACCACATTCAGTCCATGAGCTGACATGTAGAATCACAGAATCACAGAATTGTAGGGGTTGGAAGGGACCTCCTGAGATCATCGAGTCCAACCCCCCTGCCAAAGCAGGTTCCCTACACCAGGTAGCACAGGTAGGCATCCAGGCAGGTATCCAGGCAGAGCCATGTGAGATTTTCCTTCCACACTGTTCCTCTCCACTATTCTAAAATCAGTGATGCTTTTTCATCCAATTGCCCAACCACGTTCTGAGTACATAGGTAGCAACTCACCCTCACTCAGATAACTGTATTTCACTAGCATTACTGGTTCTGACAACCATGTTCCATGCTCTGTGTTCCAAGATCTGAGGTTAGCTGATTACTTTAGGCTGCCTTACCTTCACTGCCACGTGGAGCTTGGCTGTTTTCTTAGAAGGTCCTGATGCTTCATATGTTGTACCATCAACATCTACAGACATTGTGAAGACTGGGGCATGGACTGGACCAGACTGGGACAGCAGCTTATACTGAAGCCCCGGCCTGATTTGGTTCAGCCTCATCAGAGCATTCATGAGATCTATTGCTTTACTATCTAGTACTAAGTGGGGGGAGAAGAAAGGAGGGAGATTAACAGGATAAATAAAGAAATGAAACAGTTTGTATCAGTTTGCATTTAAGTGCATTGTTGGTATAAAGGTGAAAACAACCTCCCAGTCTCTTGAAGATTAAGGGTAATCACAACATTTATGTCTGCAATAAGCTATTTCATGTTTGGGTAACTATAATTATCCATATTTTAAAATGAATTCAACTCTCTTAGAGCTAACTGTATTCTTCCTGGCCTTTATAATAAAAGTTTTGTAAGTAGTGAAGAACCAGACACAGAACTGGCACCAGTGGTAGCACAATCAAAATATCCTTTAGATGTACCTAGATATCCTCTAGATATAGATATCCTCAACGCTGAGATCTTTTTATTCTGTGCATAAATTCAATGTCAATGTTTTGTAGATGAAGCATTTTATGTTTTTCTTGTGGGAGGCTATTGGGAGACCAGTAGCTATCTCAAGAAGGGAGTGCAACAAGGCAAACCTTCACACTGCAGTATTACTGGGGAAAAAACAGTAGAGTGAAGCAATCAATAAAATACTTTAATCATTTAGGAAACCTAAGTTTTTCCATGACCTGACAGGCTATTCCATTTAAAACACAAGTGACTGGGTGATTAATACATGTCAGGAGACATCCAAATACACAGTAACAACTGTGTAACACTTGCAGTGCTGGACAATAGCAACACCATTTTTTGTTCCACAGACTGTTTCACACACTATTCCACTCCACCACAGAGAAGCTCTTACACCAGTTCCTATGTATGGTGTATCTTTGAAAACAGAATGGAGAAGTGTTCACTTACTTTTCCTCAGATTACGCTTCATCTTTTTATTTGGATCTTTATCATCCCCAACACCATCTTCAAACGGTCTCTTGAGAGCAGATGAGCCTGTACCTAAGGTATCATGAATGTACTGTTAGAAAAAGAAAATTCTGAAACAGGATTCACAGCAGTCCCATACTGTCCTTTCCATGTTTATAACTATGAAAAAAACCCTCAGCCTTCAGTCAAAGCTTTCTTATTTGTACATGTGGGCCAACAGTAGCTTATTACTCATTGTACTAAGCCATGGAAGATGTCTGTTTCCAATATTATGTGCCATATAAGTAATGAAATTCTTGTTATGGACATTCATTATATGCTTTTTCATCAGTCTAAATTCTCCCCTTCCCCATCATATGAATCATAACTACTGTTTATCTTTAGGTCCCAAAATGACTTTGTGCTTAAGGAAAACTGTCCATACCCTAGCTATACTGCTACTACTCTGTTGGTAGTCTGGAGAACTTCCACACTTTCTCCTAACAACAAATAATTAAGTAAAAGACAAAAACAAACAGAAACTTAACATAAAGAAGAGCTTTTGCCTTACGTTCATAGCATGTATCTCAGGAATTTTGTTCATTCTACATTAATTCCTAGTTTACTTCCAAATTAGTAACTTTTGAAGCAAACAATACTTACCTTCTTTGTCAGCTACTGACCAGGAGTATTTCTGAAATGACTTATTTGATGGGAGAGGATCCATTTCCAAAACCTTATAAATCTGACCAAAGGCTGATAATCTGAGGGCATGCTACAAAGTGACAGTAGAAATAAAAGTTACATCACAGCGCTGCTTTTTCCACAGTTGTCTACATTTCTAACTAGGTTTGCAAACAGTCTTTTCCTTTATGTGGAATGACAGCTGTAGAAAAATGTTTATTAATAAAAATCTAAAACTCTTTTTCCATAATAGAAAGTGCAGGCCACATTGACAGGGTGCCTACTCTAGGACTCTGGGCTGTGAGCACTTGAGATAGGATGCAGAAGGTGTGCACACAGTGGGCTGCTAAAGGATTTACTTCATCTCTGCTAAACTCTTGCACTCATATCATTTCATCTTCTCATTGTAGGGCACTAGAAGAACCATCGGGACTGCTTTTAAAATATGCCACCCTGTCAGAGAATAAATTGAATTAACCAGTTGAAATCTTCAGTATTATAGCATCTAGCTCTTGAGCATGAGTTCTGCACCTGAGCACTGTGCGTAATGGCTTCTTTTTGCTGAACTGTCATATCAGACAAAGCATCTGTTGGCTCCCGTTCACAGGGGTCATGCAGACCAGGGCCTCCTGTGAAGGAAGATAAAAGGAGATTATTGGGAGTAAACATGAAACAATATGAAAATAGTGACTGTTGGATTTTGCATGTGCTGGTCTCTATCTTCAGCAGCGCTCCTTTTCCAAGAAGGAATTCAAATATCATAGAAAGCAAGCTAACCCTTGAAGCAGGAGGCCGTGGTACTAATCCTTGTAAAAGTAAATGCATACGTACAGCTGTGTGAACTAGAAGTAGGAGGTTTAACAACAGTAATGATTTGGGTACATATGCTGATTTCAGTTTAACAATAGAAAGCAGGTAGTCATTAGGTCAGTATTTATACGTAACCCCTTAATGAAATAGAAGTTTATTTATAAGCAAACCTAGCATTTCCCTAGAGGTGTTCATGGCCAGGGGCCTGCGCAACCTGATCTAGTGCCTGAATTAGTGTTTGGAAACCCAGCCCACGGCAGGGGGTTGAAACCTGATGACCTTTGAGGTCCTTCCCAACCCAGGTCATTCTGAGATTCCCTATGAACTCCTAACTGCATTGGAAGTACTTCATTCAAGCAGTTATGACTGTGCAACCTTCCTTTTGTCTTTCAATTTTAAACAAGAAGTCATTAATTTAGCTCCACAGCAGGCAGGGAGCACAAGGTAGACATTTTTCACCTAATCATACAGCAAGCAGCTGCATGCTGTTAGAAGGGTGAGGGCTGCCTGATTTGTATTTTGTATTCCTGAAGTTAATCCAGCCCCTTACCAGGAAGCAGAATTCCAGATGCCAAGCACTCCATCACTCGTCGTAATGCTTCCCCAGCGCCCAAAGGTCTATTACAAGTACCTATAGATTTTTCACATATAAGCTCGAGTGGCTAGAAGACATTAAATTACGATTAGTATGGACACAAGGGTAACTGTATCTGTAGTTAAAAAACGAGAGGTTGAGGGGAAGAACATTCACATCAGTTTACTCCAGTTTTAATGCACTACGGTCCTAACTGCAGATACTGCCATTCCAGCACATGTAATATTCCCTGCTCTGAGTTTGTTACCTTCTGAGGAGACGAATGCTCTCCATTAACTGAATAGGAAAGTCTAAAAGGATGAGGCTTTTACAGCCAAATCAGGAATATTCTTCTCCTGTCTAAGGGATATTCAAGGGGGTTGGACTTGATGACCTCTTCGAATCCATACAATTCTTTGATTCTGTGATATCAGTTCTACATGAGAGAAAACACTGCCTTCTGTGACCCCTTAAGTGTTCCTTTCTGGACATGCAGAGTACCTGGCCCTCTCCAAACCTGCTAACATGGAATAATGTGGTCTGATAGGACCACCATTGCCACTGTAGCAGGGGACTCTGAATAGCTGAAGTTGGACGTAACATGGGGAATTCTGTTGTAAACCCATAACGGTGTGCAGTTCCCCACAGTGTCATTCCTCCTTCCCTAATAATGGCACACCTAATAGACTGAACAAATATTCATACTCTTTTTCTTCCTGTAAGCACATTCCTATGCAGGCAGCAGTTAGTGGAAAGTTCGGAGAGTTGGGAGAGAAGCTAAAGGGAGAGAAGCTAAAGGGAGATGCGTCATACAGCGCACTGCTTCCCCCAGTTCAGACACTGCTACAGCCCTTAAAAGAAGTCAGAGATCTGAGCAGGTTGCCTTCAGCTCTTTTTGTACTTACCCATCCTTTCAGTGGTGCCCATGTGGGGACTCTGTTGCACAAATCCCGCAGAATACGCAGCACAATTACACATGATTTTAGTCCATTTGCCCTGGCCTAAAACAAACAGAATGGTTCCAGTATACCTGCAAAAAACCTTGCCTTCACTTTTGCTTTTCTTTTTAAATGCACAGAGTCCCAGGATAGGCTTTTTTTTTAAAATGATAACTATTTAATGCTTAATCAGACTCATGCAAAACAAGAACAGTTACAGAAAATAAAATATTTCAATTTATAGAGAGATAAAAAGGAAGCAAAACGTCAAGATTGCTTTCGTAGTCTCACAACAACTCTAGACCAGTTGGCTGTGTACCTGTCATGCCTGCCCTTACACAGTACAGCACTGAATTCCGAATTGCAGACCTTTGCTCTACTAGGGACTAATCAGAAATTAAAGAGGCATTAAAATTAAATATCTCAAATTAAACCTCGTAAGGCTACAGTAACAACAAGGTAAGAACAAATAGCCAACCTGAAACCATTTGGCGTGCCGCAGAGACGCCAAGGCCTCCAGGCATTTCTGCCTGTCCAATAAGTCCGGAGGATCTTTCATCGCAACACTGTCTACTGGTAAAAATGGGATAAAAAGAGACAGATACAATTTGACCAAGGGGTTTCTGTCACAATACAAAAAGAGCGGCAGCATCTCAAAGAGGTAATAAGACTCCCAGAATTTAAGTGCACTGTTATTTAATTTAAACAAGCTCTTAAAGGTAGTAAATGTGCACGTGTGCAACAGAAGCAAAGGCATTCGCTCCTTATAAAATAATAGTAATAATAAAGATGGCCACTGCTATAGACAATCTGGGATCTTATTAAAAATGTAGAACACGTTTCAGGGCAGAAAACAGCTATATAGCACTTGTTTTGGTTGTTCTTTCCCTTCTTTGTGACTTTTAAGTGCACAAAAATGGCACAGGATTTTGGAGACAAGCTTCTTTTGACAAGGGGAAGATTTTCGTGAGAGGGGTAGAATATAAAAAACAGCACAGAGTGCTCTGAGGTCATTGCTGTGCAAGCGCTGGTGATTTTTAAGAAATTGAATTTATTTGAAATATTTTTTATTGAACAGTATTAGCAGTATTGAACAGTAATTCACTGACAGAAATATGTAAGAAATGCTAATGAGAAATTTCTGCAGTTTGATTAATCTCTCATACAACCAAAACATAGGAAAGAAAGAAGTTTGGTAAATTACAGATACATTTTGAGAAGTAGCCCCCACTTGTAAAAATCTTCACTCTCAACAGCAACCAAAAACAAACGGATGAAATTCAAAGAAGGATTTTAGAGACAAGACATTTTCTGTTGAGCTTTACACTTTCCTCGCATCTCTTCCTCTTTTTTTGATGCAGCATGCAAAAGACTGCTCTTAGCAGTCGCATCCAATTCTGAACAAGGAATGTTGTAACAGCCCTTTCCTCCCTCGTTTTTATTTTTTCTTAAAAGGAGCAATCAGCTTCCAGACTTTCTGGAAACTACAAATGACAGATTGTACATATCGGAGAGCATGTAGATTCAGATTTTCTGTGACAGGAGAACATCAGAGTGGATGAAAAATGAATTCATGGCTCAGCTGTAACTTGAACACGTTGTTTTCCCCTGAATACACAACTATTCTTCAAAGTAAATATTTTGGAAAAACTAAAACAACCTTTTCATCATTGCTAATGGAAAACTCTACAGCCTGCAAGAGAGATTATGAATGTCTGGATGAAATAAAACATCCAGTCCAAAATCTATGCTGGATTCAGTATCCAGAAAGACTATTAAAATATCAGGATGTTGGGAGAAAAAGTACAGTGGGTTTGTACGTTGCAGGAGGTACTTTTCCATAGGCTTCTTTCAGTGGCATTGTTTGTAAGTGGAATCACACCCTTAACGTTAAGCTGCTCCACCTCCTGTGCCACCAATGGGAAGGTTACTCTGGTTAAAGCACATTATGTTACAACGGATAAAAGAGCCCAAAGCCCAAAAAAAGTGTAAAACTGAACAGAACCAGGTGTCTTGTCTGATAGTTCATAGCTGCATCTTGCACCTGCTTGTTCTGCTGTCAGCAGCAGACTTAAGTGCTATAAGCTTATTTTCTGACCCTGATGAACTTCACAGCAGATATTTGCATTGTTTCTTATTGCCCTCAACAACACCATTATAATATTGAGATTAATCACTTCTCTTGCATGTTCTTCAAATAAAAGCTGCAGTCTCAAGGTACTTGATTGCTATGAGAATACAAGGTCACTTACGAACACAAAGCTTGCTTCTAAATTTTGTAGTTTCATTTATTTTCAGGAGTAGTTTCATGGCACGATTACTAAATATACATCTGTGCAGTTGCATAAAAAGATCCTTTATTTTGGACAATAAAAACATCTGCTTAAAGCTCACATATTTTATAAAACAACTACTGTCAATGAATGATCAGAATCTTATTTTAAAACGTTAGAAATAGCAAAGATGACTGACTGCAAACTCATTAGATTTTGTCAAGATACAGTTCATCGCCAAGCTAGTCTACTGCACAAGACTGCTAAAGCACGTTGCATCAGGTGGCAAAGAAGTTTGCCTTAGAACTATAAGGCCACAGACAGAATGTGTCAGTCATTCAGGTGAATGAAAAGGCTTTTCTATTCTCTTAAGATCAGTTTTCAGCAAACTGAAATCTTAATTCTGCAGTAGGAATAAGACCATTTCGAAAGGCCTATATCAGAAATAACTTGGGGAATTTTGCTGATTACAGTTTCAGTACTGGCGTTCTGAGTACTTTGTGCAGATGCTGCAGTCAGCCAACTTCTGGTGCTATTAAACAGGAGGATGAAGAGAACAGGCAGTGAAGAGGGTGAGCAGCTTGTAGCAGACTGCCTTTCAACATCCTCAGGAGAATGGCATGTTTCTTCATGCTCTGCCAGTCAGCAAAGTGAGACCCAATCAAAATTTTTCAGGTGTGGTTGCAAAGCTTTCCTTTTTTTTTTTCCTTCTGGTTTTAACAAAAGCAACGACACAAGGAGTTTAAACAAGTAGATAATAATAAAGCCCTGACATCAGCTCACACACTGCAACATAGAACCAATCTTCAGTAAATCTCTCCCCACTTGCTGTATTTACTCCCTCCTTACAGCGGCTGCCAACTTCATTCACTTAAGTCAGCCACACAAGGAGTGTTGTGTTCTCCACAGAGGCAAGGTTCCTCTGTCTGGAGCATCACTGGCTGCCAGCTAAGGCAGGCTGTTTATGTAGAAGGTGCTCAGTTACAGAGCAGGGTTGATTCCAGCACCACTTTGGTAACTGAACTGGTTTATTATTACATAAAATTAAGTGACTATTGCTCAGTAGCAGGAACTGATTTGCCAGGTACAGCATTCTGGTTTGGAGAGCTTAATTTATATTTGATGTTATGGCTAGAAATTAGTTTCAGTTTAATCTGAAGCAAAATGCAAGCATTTAGATGCTTATCTTCTTAACATGAGAAAGCAGAGCTTTATGGATAGCCATTTGAGAAACACTGAAATGCACGCGCGCACACATACACACAGTAGTCCACTATTTATTTTTGCTAACAAGCAGCAAAAACAAATAGGGAAACACCACAGTTTAAACATGAACACTTTTCCAAAGAGGTGGGGACTGAAGAGAAATCCAGAAATGTTTTTGATACATTCTGACATCAGGGCATGAAGGTACACACAGCATTCCTACAGAACAGATGGGAGCACTGAGAAGGAGGCCCATTGCCCTAACCTCACTGATTTGGTTAGAGGAGGATTAGTGGCTCACCACCGAACAGTGAAACCTTGGTCAGTTTCGTGTGGGCTCTGCACCCCGGCGGAGGCTTGCAGGACGCCTGGATGCAGGCAGCCTGTCTTACACTAAAGATGAAAGGCAAAATGACAAGCATTTAATTCCTTCATCAAAAATACAGCATGGAATAAACTTGGATCGGTTTTTAAAATTGCACAAGGTTGTAATTAAGTTTGGTTGGCATTTTTTCCAGGAGTATTGAGAAAAAAAAAAAAAGGCACTGTTTTCTTTGGAGATCAAAGTATTTTTAGATGAAAATTTCTCTGAATATTTTCACTTGGTAAAAGGGACTCAAAGAATTGCAAATATTGTGAAAAAATATGAATTTGTATTTTCCACTTAATTTACACATCAGTATTTGCATACCTTTCAAACAGGGAGACAATACATTTGCTTCACTTGGGATGAATCAGTGTCAAAGAACCTGTGCTTCAAAACAAGATCCATTTACCCACCTATTCTTATCAGCTTTACAGAAATAACAGTGTAACACTGCTCCAGAGGCAGTAACACAGTTTTATGTTTTGAAAAAATAGAGCATTTAAGATAGGAAACTATTAAAATTAAAATCCTCGTTCATTTTGGGATGAATTCCGGAGTCATAAGAGTTCACTGCCACAACAGCATCCCTTACTTTTTTTGCAAGAACATATTTGGATGGAAGTCTTTGCAGAAAACCATCACCTTGTGGGCATATTACAAATGCCTTGTCATTAAAACTTGTTCTGCACTTTGTGCATCTCCTCATAAACATCCATCAGCTGCAGAAACAACAAGCCTGACCAATGTCTTGTGGAAAGCTGAAGAACAACTGAAGTAATATGCAGTTTCTTTTTAGTGGTCTTGCAAAAGAGCATAATTACTAATTTGAGAATAAACAGACACTGCAATTAGGAAATCTTTGCCGTTCATCTGTTTTGTAAGATGTTTCTGCATCCAACTGCTGCCATAGTGCTAAGTTTCCTTCCAAAATGAGCCTTCCTGCCCTTGCCTCAAACGAAAATGAAGAGAAACTGACCAACATTTCATATTGTATCGGTAGTTCATGTGGGAGAGGGGAGGAAGCAAAGGACTTGTGGCAAGTCTAGAATGGGAAGAGAGCAACAGGGAGTTCCCTAGCCCACATGGGCCCAGCTGCCTCAGTTGTCATGACAGAGAATGGCCAGTTGGTCAAAGGTCTGACATCATCCAGTGGCAAAGTCTCTAGGGATTGGCTTGGGAAGCGAAGCAGAAATTACTGACATGATTTAAAAAAATTAAATGGCTACATTTGCTCTTCTCTATTTCTCTGTTTCCAGCCTCATTGATGCTACCAGTCAACAGTTCTCGAAAAAGGGGCTTATGACTAGATTGGAGGTCAGGCAGTTAGGGAGAAGGAGTAGAAAGAAACTAAGTTACAGTTTTCTAAATCTATTTTGCACCAAGGATATGAGGTACAACATTTAATTCAGAAGCAAAAGTACTCCATTATAGCACCCTAACTTCAATTGAATCCAAGTTAGGAAACTCTTACATCTAGAAACACACATATGTATCAAGAACAAAAATTGAGGGTCAGGGGAATATGCTTGCAAGCTTTGCAGGAAAGTTATTGTATATAAGAAGAGAAACAGTTTAATGAGTTTTTCAAGATACTGGGAACCAATCCCACTTGACTGACTGAATTTTAAAAAGGACTGTGCAGCGCTGGGGTGCTCAAGAATCAACTAGCAAGACTGAAAGAAACGAGAACTAAGATACCATTCTGTATCAAGTTAACACTACCAGTATTGCTTGCACATGAAAGCTAATGCATAGTTACATGACAATTAAGTGACTGTTGTCTTCTTAAGGCATAAGTAACGTAACCAACTGTGGCAATAGCCAGTCTGGTTAGTACAAAATACACAATCAAAAACCTACTTGCTAATTAACCCTGTGCTGCACAGTCAGGGTATTTAGATAGAATTCAGATAGAACACTCTTAAAAACAAGTTAAAACGCTCCGTGTACCTCCTTCCTTCTTCTCTGCTTCATCTCGAATGAGAGGGGACGTAAGTATCACCTTCAAGGTTAGCTTGGGCTCCTTTGTGTTACGAATAATAATAGCTGCCTCATTTACATGCTCCTCCACGAGATACTTCTCTTCTGTAAGTTTCTGAAAGTCACCAAGAAAAATTTCAAGAATCTCCTAGTCAACTGAAAAACTGTGGTTTCTGTACCTGCAACACACCTCTGGAATTAACGAGAAGGCTACAAAAGATTGCAGTAACAAGTATGGCCCTGCCTCCCTCAGTGAAAACAAACTGAAAAACCCAGTAACATGCTTGAAAACAAATATTCTGCAGTAAATTTAATTACAATGCTAAGTAGCTTCCCTATCAATATATTGTATACAATCGTGTATTATCCCATCTTTATTTTAATCAAAAACAGAAGCCAACTTTTGTAGCTGCTATTATGGGAAATAGTAACATCTACTACTAGTCTTAGTGCATGCCTGTCCAGTAGTGCTGCCTCTAACTGTAGAAGCTCTTGTGTGCAGTATGACCAACACAACCATAACTGTCAGCACACACGGACAAGAGCCTCCAGAACAGGATTGGCTGACGAAGTCCATTTCTTACCAACTCTAAGCCACTCCTCAAATCCCAACAGATAGTTTGGAGAGGTGCTGAAATCTCTGCTGACTCTTATCCACACGCAATTCTGACGGCCTGTTTTGCAACAAAACTGCCCCTTGCTACACTTCCAAATACGTGGATTCCACTTCACACTACTTTTGGTAGCCATGGGAGGTACTGAATCCCTGTCCCTTTATAAATAACCACTGACATCTTTTAGAAACTCACAGTGGCATTTCCATCTTGCATTTTTCCAAACACAAACATATTAATCTTTCTTCAGAGGTTTAAGGTGCTCACTCTTCTGATTTTGTCTCTTGATCTCTTCTTCACACAGCACTTGAAACTGAATGCAAGACTCCACTGTTATCCAGTGCACTCACTGATAGCAGCCCCAGAAGAGATTCGTGAGAATGCCTAGAAAACCTGACCTTCCTCTCCTGACAGCACATCAGTAAGTCAAGAGTGTCTTTCAAACTGATCTATTTTCAGACATTTTCCTCTTGCTTAATTACTACCTACAAAAGAATTTAATGTAAGTTGCCTAACAATTTGTCCTAACTAACATCAAAATTATCTCAACTGATCTGTATCTCTCACCCTTAAGACCTGCACAGAAAACTACAAATTAATTCTAAAGCTAACTCCTAGTATTTGTATGTTTCAGCAAGATTATGAGGTTAGAACATTAGTAATTGGAACATATCTAACTACTTTTCCCGTTGAGACTTGCACCCCAACTCCAGTAGTGTTGAGATGAAATCACTTAAGCATCTGCTCATGGTTAGCCTACAAGGCAAAATAAAGCAGAAGCTAATATCTCTGTACATCAAGTGCAGGTTTTGCCCACTAACAAACCTACATCTTCCTTGTCTGTCCTTGTCTGGCATGTCTGCAAAACCTCCTTATTGTCATGATAGTTGTAAGCTGGTTTCATGATTTAGATCCCTCTTACCTCAACTTTAAAATAAAACCAACAACAACAAAAAAAGCAAACCAAAAATCCCAAGCGTACACCAGCTTTTCTTATCACTTTCAACCTTTCTCAACTCACATCATCTGTGGACAGGGAACAAACATAGATTTACTATCTCATATCTCTTCATGCGAACAAAGGAGCAGTGAGAACCAACAGCTGTCAGAAGTGGCAGAACACATATAGTCTATGTGGAAATAAGCAAGGCAGAAAAACAGATCAGGAGAGAAACGAATCCTGTTTGGATCTGGTTTGGAGAGAGGCACTTGCAGTGCAATATTTTGGGGCACAGTTTCTCAGTAACAGCGTATGTTTCAATCTGGATTGGACTTAATGGTATCTGGATTGGACTTAATGGTATTAGCTTTTTAGCTGCTTTGAAGAGACCAGTGTTAACTCTTAAGTGCTGGATGCCAAAATTAAAATGAAATAGCCATAAATAAAAACAATTATAAGCTCATGAATAAAATAAGCTAAAATGAGAGACCATCTAAATTGACTTTTTTCTCACTTCAGATGTACAGTGGCACTTATTTTGGGGAAGCCTAAGGAAAGCAAAGCTACTACAGTGTAGAACTCAAGAAGTTCAGGCAGGGAAGCGGAGAACAACAAGGACCACATGCTTGAGCAGGGAGTTATTTCTGAGACTGCTGTTAGCTCACATTACTGATTGGAGCAGAGAACAAAACCCAGCAATATTAGTTACTAAATAGAAAGGTTAGCTATCAGAATGGGAAAACTGACATCACAAAAAGGGATTAGGACAGCACCATGAGCAAGACGTTAAATTCTGTGAATAGCTACTTCATAACAACGCATTGGAGATGTGGTCTAGAGGTGCTGTCCTAGATTCAAAGTATGCTTTTTAATCTTTAACACATTTCTCTTCTCCTGGAAGGAATTACAGTCTTTACCCAAACACATCTTGCAGTGCTATCATTCATTGCTACAGGACTACCCTGAATTAACTCACCTGAATTTGAACGGGGAGATTGTCTTTGACTATACATAATAAGGTCTTTGTGGGTTTTTCTTTGCACATGAGAACCAGCTCCAAATCCATATCATCTTTTATCAGCAAACCCTTTGCAACCAAGCCAATTCTCATAACACCACACAAGGTCCGACCACTCTGATCCCTGGAAATGAAATAATTCTGAGTAATTAAAATGGTATTTTTACATATTGAAAATACTTGTATTATGCTATAACAGTGAGGAGACAAATGGATGGGACTGATTACAGTGCTGAAGTGGCATATTACTTATCAGAAAAGTAAGCATAGAATGCTTTTATAAAAGTGGTTCCTATGAAAAAAAAATAAAGCATTGATTTGCAATTCACATGAGTGCAGAAGATGCCTAGCTCAAGTCACAAAGCACAAAAAAAAGCAAAATTAACTGTCTGCAAATCTGCCAACAAAGAATACAGTAATTACGATCTAGACAAGCTCTGACAGAGTTCCCATTAGCAGAAGTGATCTGAGCTGTCTTTTAGCAATGCTCCAAGTTTAAACACGGCCGTAGCCCTTCATAATGTTCTGTTTAATTCGTACAGTCAAACCTTTACCTTAAAATTTATATCAAAAATTATTATTTTAATTGTAGCACCTCCTGGAAACTGACTTTTCAATAAAAGTCCTGGTTGCAGAAAACCTTCCAGGCCTAATTCCTTCAACAGGTCTCACCAGTGAAACCTACAGCAACAGGGGCATGAGTACTAGGCACTAGATTCCAGTCCCCAGTAACGCTTAGGGAACATTTAAGGACCACAGCAGACAACTTGCAAAGCGATGTGAGAACATTTTAGTTCTGAGTATTGAGAAGAAAACTGCAACAAAAACCAGTTTAGTAGGCTAAAGAAAAACCATAAAACTTGCATAATAAACAGCGAGGAAAATGCAAGAAATGCACCTTTGACAGTTCAAAACCAGCTACTGCCATGACTCATCTCACATACTGTGGCACCAACTAGCGGCACATCCCCCTTACAAAAACAACAGAAAGCACATAATCAGTAAAAGCAGAAAATCATCTCAGCCAGTAAGGCAGCATCCCTGTTCCTGTCATTGTTACCATCCAGTAGGTTAGACTGGATAAAAAAAACCAACAAAGCATATCACATTGTGATCCAAGATCATCAAATAGATCTTAAGAGATCCTACGCTTCACTCGATCAATAACATCATCCAACCATCCCACAGACTTTGCACAAGTACTTTAAGTGGAAATGCTGCAACAGTTGTCTGCACAAACAGAAGAAAGGAAGGTCAGTCAGCAATCCCACCGTCCCAGGAACAGTCAGAAGCAAACGAGCTTCGGCTTTTTTTAACTACTGTTACAAAAGCAAACAGTATCTCAACTTCTAGCCTGAAACGGTGCTGCTTAACCAGTATCTGGACGCAGATAATTCCTTTGAATATGGATTGCAGCCAGCAATGAAGATAATTTACATCGTAGAGAAATATACTTTAGCCCCTTTTAGCTTGTAAGTGATTAGTAAAATAATCTGCCCCCAAACAAATGCATAAATAAGCAAATTGTTCTATATGTATAAATAATGCATGGATGTTTGCAGTAACTGTACTCCAGATTTGTAATAGAGCAGAAGCACAAAACCACATGCAAAGGTGTGAATAGCAAGGCTATCCAATTGTCTCAAAAGCGCTTAATGCAAGCCTGGAACTTTACTTTTTTAAAATTTATTTTTAGAGAATCCATTCCACGGCCTGCGTTGTCCACATCAGAAGACGTGGAGACACTGCCAGTAGTTCTAAAAAATAACCAACAAAGTGTGTCGTGCACTTAGAAAGACTTTTTCTGTGGGAATCGGAACTTAAATACCTCCTTCAATAAGATGACAACATTAAATTGTCCATCTGTAGAAAAGCAGCCTTTCAGTACAGCACAGTTATTCTGCAGTGGTAATACAATTGGCTAAAATAATTTTTTACGTTAGTTTATGTAACAATGTTCATGAATTTACATGCCTTGCTATTTCTGTTTGAATACATTTCACACCAAACAAGTGATACATCACAGCTCGTGTGTCTGTTAAATATTTATTACAGAAAACATAAAGCCACAGGAATCCAGTAAATCTGTACATTTACTTTTCAAAGCTATTCTGTTATGGTCTTCATATGGCTGAACATTTCCTATTGGAAACTATATCCGAAGAAGGCGGTGCCCCATTGGAACTTCACACAGAACAAGCAGTTCTTACGACAGTTCCCAGGCCCATAACTCTGTCTTTGACAAAGTCGAATACGAGTATAAATACTAAAAAAAAAATCTGCAGAAAAATGCTATTAATACTTGAGGGATTTTCTGTAGAACCCACAATGCTATTTGGAAATAGCAAGATACCAAGTCATGAATGCTTGCTGCTCCTCCCACCCATGAAGGATTTTTCCTAGTTAATACAGAAGCAGATTTCTTGTTTCTAAATGGAGTACATTCAGATGGTGAGGCACAGCAGAGCTTCATACTGCATTTCCTGAATGCTTTATGAGACCTGGGAAGAGCTAAGAACCACATTACAACAACAAAACAAGAAGCAGCATTTCATTTTTAAAATTCCAAAGATACCCCACTATGAATTTAGGAATAACTGATAAATATAATGGTTATCAGTGTCTCTTCCACCTTAAGCAAGTATAGTGTATTTTCTGTTCACAAACTGATACAACTCTGAATTAGGAAGACTGTGTCTTCTTCCCTTATCCACACTGAATTGTATCTCACTCCAGAAGTACATAGTTCAGTGCGTTAGTATTTCTACTGCTGCTAGAGTAGTTTGTATTGCACCCTGACCCCACATATAAACAATTTTAAATATGTATTATTTACCAGCACACCAAAAAAAGGCCTCGCAATAGAACTTTCACTGGCATAAAAGGTGTCAGAAAACATAAGGAATACATATGGATAAAGAATACACCATTTATCAGTTTTAAGAACAGAACTTACTGGGCAAAGCCCATGTAGCTGCAGACTTTCTTAATATTCCACACACCATAGGAAAGGAAATTGGAAGAGTCCATTGACTACATCTCTAGTGCAGGTTACGTTACGGATGTAACCAGATTAGAGTCCCGAGAAGTTCAATGGAGAAGTGTTATCTAACAGGAAGAGCAGAGAACTGGAAATCAGGTTTTTCAGGTCATGACATATTTGCTGTTCGCCTCCTAGTGCTTCACTTCCTCATCTGCAAACTGGAGAGAATACTTACCAGAGCTGGAGAGCATATGAAACAGGAAGCCCAAGTTCTGGTTCTAAGTGCCCGAGTTAAAAACTTACACACCAAGAAACCTAAAATAAGGAGCCAGTTGTTTCAGCCTCTTCTTCAACTACTGGAGTTATGCTAGAACAAGAAAACTTGGCACCATGTCAAGGAGCAGACTGGGACATACAGCAAACAGATGTTTCACTCAGAGCACAATATAACAGAAGGAAATGGATCCTTAGAAAAGCTGGTTTGCTAAGTAAACAGTAAGTTTATAAAAATCTTTTGTTTCCTAAATGGAAGGAGTCCCTAAGCTACATGACTGCGGATTTGCATTCACGTGCTACAGGTACATATATACACTTATTGCTGAAACATTTAACTGCTAAAATGCAGTTTCACATTACATGAAAATAAGAGAGCAACTGCTGCCTAAATCTTGCTTATTCCTATTCCTTGCACTCGCTCTGTATGTTCCCACCTCAAGCAGTGCAAATATGTTCACTGTGTCCCATGAATATTTGTACACAACAGAATCAAAGCACACTACAACTCTTATATAGTAGGAAAGGAACCTGCACAGTAACTGCACAGTAACATATTATGAGGCTCAACTCACTCACTTGGCATTGCTTTCTGCAGCTTCCTCCTTTGCTTCCACATCACCCTCACATTTTACAGACTTGTTCTTTTCATCCATCCAGTCAGACACATGCTTAAGGGCACATTCTACTGTTGATACCATGTTCTGGACAGCTTCAAGTTCTTCTGGAGATGGATAAATGGTTGAATGTTTCACCATAACATGGCGGTCATCGTTAGCAAAAGATCGGATAGATCTCTGTTACAGAGTGGGAAAGGAGAGGAAAAAGAACAAAATTATTCAGTTATCAATAGAAAGACACTACCTGAATGGCAGTCCTCACTGATAGATGTAAGAAAAGGTTTTATGATGACCATGTGTTGCAATCTGGCAGGACTGATTTCTTATCAGAGAGATACACAGACACCAAAGACTATCATGGAATCAGCATTAAGCTGGCAAAATGTATAAGGCTTAAGGTGGGGTTTCTTTTTGACACCTAGCATTAGATGCCTAGAAGCCTTTACTAGCCAGTAATACTGGCTGCTAACACTGGCACATCTGGAGCACAATTTATGTCCACAGTAGGATGAGATAACTGTGCTCTGGAGGTACATCCCTTGGGTCCTGGGCAACTCATTTCACTTTCAAACGTCTTTAACTTCCCTTGTTCTTTGATTCGCTTGTTAACTAAGATCAGGTTTTCAAAGTCAGTGAAAGAACACCTAGACCCCAATCTTGTCCAAAGCATCTACATATAAAGGAGAAACAAATTGTGAGTAACAGCACACTGTGTGTGAAGGAAACTGTGTGAAGGAAACATCCTACCCAGCAATACCTGCAGGAACTTAGATCCTGAATTTCAGTGACCTTTCCTGACTGTCTGAAGCTTCAGTAGCTGGATAGCTCAAAGCAAAGGGAAGAGCTTAGGCACCTTGATGCCAAAAGGTAACCACATTTTAAAGTAGGCAAATTCAAAACGTAAGTAGCCCAGGATGAAAGCAAAGGGCTGACAAGGATAATATGGAGACAACTCTCTAAATGCAACTTTGTATATTCTTGATGCATGGAGTGCAGCTGTCTGTCCTCAATTTCTGTTAGAGACAGTGGCAACCCCTTTAGAACCAATCCAGTAAATAGCCACTCCCCTGTGGCTTTGTTGCTGCTGCAGACAAAGTCACAGACACTACGTATTGGTAAGTGCAGCTTAGCAAAATGCACTGGGATTTACAAAGGCACGAATGAAAATGAGGATAGGGATAAGCTGGTAAGGAATGCAGAAATTATTTCTTAAAAATAAGATAATAAGTAAAATAAGTTTAAGATAAGTTTGCAGTGAAACTTCAAGACCTGAGCGATACTGCTGAAAGAGGTAAACATGGTTAAATGACTTGTGCCAAGAGGTTATAGTTTGCTACGCTCTAGCCAGTTGAAACTCAGCTGATCTAAACAGCGACCTGGACCAGCTACACAGCACAGACCTCCAGCAAGTACACCTCTGAACATTCTCTAGACACATGCCAGTCACTACTGAAAGTCCCCTGGAACTTAGAATCATCAACCAGAACTCCATCCTCCTACACATTAAACACTGCAAATGCTTTAGTTTTTACCCCCTAGTTGGTGGGTTTGCTAACAGCACGTACTCTGCAATAGCACACGTTTTTCAGGTCATAGAAAATCATAGAACTGCTCAGGTTGGAAAAGACCTTAAAGATCATCAAGTCCAACCACAAAATGGGCCTGTGAAGGATGTGGAAGGCTTTTGGGTCTAATACTTGTAGATCAACAGGTCGTGGCTTCCTGGGTTATTACATTCAAAGATCAGCACTACAGTTACTTCCTTAACTTCTTCATGCCTCCCCACAGCAACAATTCAAGTAGTAAAAACTCATCAGCCAGGGGTCTGGTGTTACTCCAGTGCTTTTTACAGTTGCAAAAATATTTCCAGAAGGTTCCTCCTGAGGTTAATCTGCAGCTTGGGTATACAGAGAAGCTGCAGTTCTGCAGTGAAAATTGACAAGCTGGATTTATTCATTCATCTCTACCATCTCAAGTATCATGAAATATCAATCAGGAAAAACAGTCAAACAACAACAAACTATTAACTCAGATATGAAGACTTTTCTGTTCTTTTCTAATAGATAAGCATTGGCAAGATCAATTATTCCTTACAGTTTAGGCCAAAAACAATAGGAAAAGAAGACTTCACGTTGATAACTCTGCTGTGTCAAGTGTTCTTCCTCCCTTTGTGCTCTATAACAGGTAAAAATCTTATCTTGGATCATATATGTGTGTTACATCCTGGCTATCATCAGCCACAGCTATACAAGTGTTAGAGAACAGAATTTAACATTTATTGCATTTATTCTCATTTCCCTTCTCTCAGCAGTAACACTTAAGAGGACTTACAATCTATGCTTAAACTGCTCTCCACACTTTTTCAGAACTGGGTAGGTTTACTGCCCTTTTGAGAACACATCTTCAGAATCTTACCATCACAATCCTTCACATTTATACAGCTTGATAATGTAATCCCTGATGTTCCCAATTTGGGAGCAGCACCAGGTAGACTAGAAATGACTCCTTATTTAGTTCAATACACTTGGTGCATATCCTTTACTGACATCTCATCTACGCTTTTAATGAAAAGTGCATAGGACCACATGCATTCAGCTTTTAATACATGTGTACAAAAATACAAATAATTTTACACTTGCTGTTGTGAGCAAGGAGTGAAAGGGGAACAGCAGCATTTGGTTGTACAGTCTGCAAGTTCAAGGTCACTCACACTGTTTGCTACAGCTTGCTAATGCTAGTTTTATTAGAAAAACTAGGAGCATCCCCTTCATTCACATTTAATAATTCATGTAATGCAACTCTCTGGTTTGAAATGGCTGACAAAATATCAAACCTCGTCTGCTTTACTCAAAGTATGCCCTACCATCTCCAATTTAGTGCGAGGTCAGAATATCTCCTTGCTTGTTTCATCAGGCCCCATGCAAGACCATCAGAGAATATTATTAATGTGACCCTATGAAAGATAGGGATACCTACCATGATTTGTTACTGTTTCAGCTCTCTCTTTCTTTCTCCTTTTCCCTCCTCCTTGGTGTCTTTGCTAAGAGCTGTTTTGCTTGACAGAACCTCTTCATAAGCCTCTCAGTCCCTTGACAGCTCAAGAGTTCATAGAGCTAAGATGCTATAAGAGTCACTTTCTGTAACTCACCTGCAAAAAAGAAAGAGAAAACCAACTTGAATCCAGAAGAAACATGTTAATTCCAATAAGTGCTCAATGCAGAACACTGAGTCAAACCACTGACTAAAGCTTCACAGCAGAGAAGAGCTCGCCAAATCATCCTTCCCAGAACAATAGCAGATGTCACTACAGGAAGCAGCTTCATGCCATGTGCCCACACCTATTAACTGCTTTCCCATGCCAGTCAGAGCTTCTCCCAGTGCACTGTCAGCCAACTGGCAATCTACATTTCTGATGCGAGGAAGATTGGAAATCCAAAGTGCCAAATACATATGAAACCAGCTTGAACAGATAGCTATTGTTAACACTAATTTAATCATTAAAAAGTAATTAGCAGCTGAAATCCTCTGTGCGGCCTTTGATTCTGAATGTCAGATGCTGTACTTCGGGTGGCAATAACTAATCTCTTATTTAAAAAGAGGGATGTACATTACAATAAACTGAAGACATGAGAATTGTGATCATGTCTGCCTGAAATCATTCATGATGATTTTTCTGCCCTTGCACTGCTTTTTGCAGTACATAACAGCTAAAAAAGTCTCTACAGCAGTCCTCTTGTACTAAACTAGAAGAATGACAGAGCAGGTACTGCTAGAGAGGAAAGTAGAAGCTTACTGCATAGTTCTTGGAGAAAACTCCTGTTTTCCTTTCATTGTATATATTTTTGCATCAGCTTTCTGGCAACATTCTGAAGTAACTGGAAAGCCCAGTCAAAATTTCTGCAGGGTGACACACACACACACACACACACAGAATGTTTTCCTTTTCTCCTGTATGTCAGTCTTTACTTCTCCAGCAGTATGTTACATGTTGCCTGTCAAAAAATCCTGATGGTTCTGGAGATTAAAAGCAAGTTTGGCAGCAACACAGGGACAGGTGAGATGGCTTATGCTCATACTAAAAATACCTGGAAAAAGCAAGCTAATAAAAGCCCTGAAGGACCTCTTTTCTTATCACAGAGGCTATGTATTGTACCAAGTTACCTTAACGCTCTACCATATTGCTTCCCAGAAGCAATCAAATAAGATGTTCTTTAGTGGGACCAGATTCCTACCTTAGGTGATCTTGAAAGGCAAGCAGGGACAGCTGGAAGCACAAGCAAGCACCAAGATTACTGCTTCAGCACTACTTAATACATGAGCTAGTCATAAGCTCATTCAAACTTAAAAGCTATTCACCATCTCTAGAACCAGACTCTTTATCAGGATTTTTGCTTAGCTTTTCCTATAATAGTCATAATAATAATAATAATAAATAATATGCTTTAGAGTCGGCAGATGGCAAGCTAGAGATACTTATCAGACATGTTTCCAGATCATCTCTTTCAAATTAGATGGATTCAGTTTGAAGAGAGAACCACCTTCAGATAATCATTCTTCCCTGTGACTCCAGCACTTCACATTTTCAGTTTGCTGTCTTCTCTGTAATTTGGCAGATCAAGGCAGAGGACACTGGAACGTGTTGCTGAGTTTAGCGTGCGCCCAGCATGACATCTCCAGACTGCAAGCAACACCCCAGCCTGGACTCCCTCCTAAGTCTACTGCAAGCTGTTGCTTATCAGCTCGTACAGTATATTGAAAGCAGATGGACAAGGAGAGCTGGCTGAGCAAATTCTGGTGCTTCAGAAAAACTGCAAGCAGACTGTAGTCTAGAGGGCAAGCCTGCAGTCTACCTCACAAGTTCTGAAAACAGCCGTACCCCAGGGTGCAATTGTAGATATATTCAGTGCTTTTCAGTGCTCTTTGAAAATACAGAGCAGCTGTGAAACATTTGTTTTCAGTCTATAATTTAGACAGTTAAAGCAGAATCACAAAAACCTCTCAGAAGTCTGCTTTAAAAGGGTAGTAACCATCTTATCTTAAAAGAGGTTCAAGTTTCAACAACATGCAATAGATCCAGATGAAGATATTTATTTATGAGTTTGATTCTACCTGCCCTTTTTCTCATCCATGAGTGGCTGAGGTCTGAGCATCATTTTATTTCTAGATTACAGCAGGATGCTTGTCCCTGTGCACTCATGGACGTAACAGCTGAGGTCCAGGCTAAAGGTACAAGAATATTATGTGTGATTGCCCTAAGCACTGGTTTCCACCTACTCTTGTAACAAAATTCTAGAAAAAGCTACCAGCAGTAATGAGACCTTGGTGACCTTGAGAAAGTCACTTTACCTCTGTATCATGTGGCCCTAAAGTGTAAAACAGGGCCAATACTTGCTCCAAACCATGCTAGCAGTTGAGTAGAGCCTGCAGTGTGGTTTAATGTCACTGGGGATTTGACACAGTAGAAATGTTATTGAAACACCATGACAGTCTAACAGTGTTTCCATTAAACATCCCATCCTTCACAGAGGAAGTTTATGCTTTGGTGCAAGACAAACAAGGAAAAGAATTTCAAATGAGGCCTTTGTAGTAGGGCATATTCCTGCATCTGGCCGTTCTGTTCCCAAGAGAGACATTTCAACAGCCAGAAATAATGAATATGCTTATGTACCTTCAGGTGCTTGGGAACAGCACAGAGAAAAGCAGGAGAAACAGGTACTTGTCTTCCTTAAGGAGTGTTGTAACATCCAAACCTGAGAGCTGTGACCTTCTAGAATGCAGAACTGCTCTGGTGTTCTGAAGCCTCTCACAGCACACAGCAGTACTTGCACAGAGCGCTGCAGAAATGGCTTAACAGAGGAGGAAACTGGGGTCACTGTGCTCCATGTCCTCACTTCAGTGTGCTGCTGTTAAAGGCACAGATGCCATGCCATTTATTACAGTGTAGAAACTGGTCTTAAATGCTACAGCAAAAGGCACAGGCCAGAAATATTTATCTTGAGGAAAAATAACCTCCACCCTCATTATCTACCCTTACACCAACATCTGCTCACAAGAGCTCCGTTTACAGCATTCGTACACCACCCTGATATCCCTCTGAGTTTGTGTTAACAGAGCAGCAAGGGCAACTATAGTTGCTGATAGCAAATGAGTGAACATCTACAGCCTGAGGTGCATCAGACAATAACAGAAACAACTCGAATTTGCACAGAAGGGGTAAGAAAAAGTGGGATTTGTATCATTTTTTGATACTTTCAAAAAATCATAATAAGAGGACTGTAGCTTTAAATTGCAACTTTATTTTAACTTCTGCTTTGCATCCAGGGGACAGGTAATTTTCCGTCACACCGTATACAGAGCTGCTGAAAATACGCTGCTTTTTGCTGTAGTATAATTTTATTGCTGGCCTCCTGCCAAGAGCCTTTCTGGCAGCATCTTCCACAGTTGGAAACTGTGTATCTGGGTCAGAAAAGACAAGTTGCTTTTCAGAACAGCTCAATACATTTGGCAGAGATGCTGATATTATAATTGAACTCTTTCAGCAACTCTTTTTGTGATGTACGCAGACATCAAACAAAACAAGATGTGCAAAGTTGATTAGTGTCAGAATAACTGACAGCGAAACAGCGAAATAGTTTTCTCACATGTTAAAAGTATCAACAAACCAAGAGATACAGAGAAAAATGCAATTCAAAAGGATGCTGTGAGGAACATGGGGCAGAGAAACCTGCAGAGTATGATCAACCTTTGTGCACATGTTTGCTGTTTTAAATGCAAACTCCCTGTGTGCTGTACAGAACTGGTTTACTCATTCTGCATCACCAAAAAAGAGAAACTTGCCCAGTGCAACCATAAAAACAATCTGTAAAGAAATGCAACCATAACACTGGGATATGTATTTACTAAGACTTAGGTTGCTCGCAGCAATATTCTCAGCAACCATCCAGTTTCACCTGTACATCCACATGAGTTTTATTGTTTTCACAGTTCCTGGCAAAGTTGCATCTGGCTTAGCCTTTAGAAGTCTGCAATTTTCCAGCCAGACAGAAAATTGTAAAGCAACACTACACTGAGAGCTGGAAAGGTTCTTCCTCTGACATTCTTACCCTACATACAATAAATACTGACCTAGTATCACTCCTGCTTGTTCAGTTCTTAAGACAGTTTGACAAGAAGCTCCTGTGCTCAGATTTCTTCTGAGTAGAGAGCCCCAGCACCCCACTTTTACGGTTACCAGACAGGTTAGGCACTCATTTGATAAACAGAATAGAAGAATCATCCAAGTCATTCTTCTGGGAGCCTGGGAGAACTTTTGGCTCTTAAATAACAAATTGACATATGAACACAAAGTACAATCAACTTAATTAGCATTCAGCCTGTCAGTAACATCCAGAACAGAACTGTCCATAAAACAGCACTATAAGAATATATATACATATATAAATAACAAAGGGAGAACTTCTTGGCACAGCCTTAAAAAAACAATACAAAAAACCCACGGTTACATACTACATAAATAAATAAAATCAAAGTATTCATCTTCAGACTAGCCAGAAACCATGACTAGACTTTCCATGTCTGAAATGTTCAACTGATTTCCAGCTTCCAGCACCAAACACAGGCATTCCTGCTCTTCTCGCTAAACTGGACACTGGAAACCTGGAGCTACTTTGCAGTACAGACCTGCTGGTGAAGCAGTCATAATCTGATACCAACATTCAAAAAAGAAAAAAATCACAATAAATTTCAAAACAGACTGCATTCATTTACAGTTGAAGAATTAACTAAATTAATAAAAAGGATCACATTACTAAAAAGACTCCATGTGTACTGTCAGTTTTCCCAGAGACATGCACTACTTAAGCAAATGCCTGGATCTAGGTCTGAAGTAATATCCAGCTCTCCAAAACAGAACCACATGTTCTGCCCCCTCAAGCACACAGTGCAGTTTGGCACCATGCTGGGCTTCCTGCTGCCTAAGCCATGCCACGCTCTCTGATCTCAGTACCACAGTTCTGTAGACCTTCAAACTTCTGGACATTTTCCATCCCCATATCATTTCTGTCCACATCCTTACCTTTGTGTTTTTCTTTGCTCCAGAACCATAGTGGGAAGCAGTCACAGTGAAGGAGAGGAGAAGAACTGGGACATTCTTTCCCCAGCATCCTTCAACTTAACTCAAAAAGCTGCAGTGCCCCAGTTTCCTTCCTGCTATGATTCATATCCCATTGACTGCAGGTTGGCCTAAGCTACAGATTTTGTTCCTCTCAAGACAAAACCAGCTAAACACCATAGGAAACACCTATGCAGTTTGGATTCCTAGAGGACAGTCTCTGCAGGTACCATTTAGCACACAGGCTTATTGCAATGAAGTATCACCAGACACTTCCTGGGCACTCCAAAAGGTCAGTCTTACGTGACCACTCACCAACACAGAAGAAAATGCTTTTAAAATTCTCTTGTAAAAGAGAAAGGCCTTTTTCCTTCAAGGTATCAGCATCAGCGTCTCCCCTAGAATTCCTTCCTTGATGTCCCCAGTGGCAGGCATGAAGAACCTGGCATTTTCAGCACTGCACATTCACTCTGGATGGCACGCACATCAGCCAGTTTAAACATTCATGACTCTCCACTTAAGTGCATTTTGTGATATGTCAGTCTTGCTGCCTCACTGACTTTTTATTTTTTTTAAGAGAGAAGATTCACAAGGATCTGGAAGACTATCAGTGTCCGCAGGTGCTGTGCAAAGAGCTCTTCTGTTCTCTGCCAGTACACATCCACCATCACACTTGACCACATTCTGGTTCCACTCTGATGACCAAACAAGATTTTGTTTTCAGTTTCTGTATCATTCCTATTTCCCAAGTTGAGAACTGAATTCCTTAACTGCTTATTTATAACAGGATGGCAAAGTTTTACGTACCAAAATATCTGTAGCATCACATTCTAATTTCTTTAGAAAACACAGTTAAGTAATTGATCTTGAACTTGAGAAGCTACATTAAAATTCAAATAAATAAGTATATTATGTGGGGAAAAACAAACAAACCCCAAGGAGCTGTCAGCATAAATCCACCAGCCTCACCTGGCTTTGATTTTAAGGACACAAACACAACTTTGTTGCTTTGGTTCATTTCCCTTAAATTTCATGAATTGCCCCAGATCTGTTTAATCTCTCTTCACAGCTAATGACACCATCTCTACTGTGCCACTTTACTCAGAACAGCATGAAATATACCAATGGTTCTTCAATCTTTGTCATTCACCGTTTTCTCTCCATCACGTAATTACCATCTCAGTTTGCTCTCTCAACATAAAGCAGTACATGTCTAAACAACAAAACAGAAGGCTATGATGAACACCAGTGCCTTGGAGGCAACCTGCTTGCACAATCCAAAGGCACCAGCATTTCAGTAAACGTGTGAAAGTAAGATGTCATCCAGGTTAGGAAGCAGAAGTGCATGACAGCAAGCTGTTGCAACTCCAGTGTAAAAGAAGGTGTGTACCCATTTTCCCTCAATGGAAGCAAATAAACCATGGAATCAACAGCAGCATTCAGAATGCTCTTGGCTTTGCAGGGAGATTGATTTACAGCAACCACCACCACCTCACTTTCTGCCCAAAGCTCCTCCATACACTGCAGTTGCTAGAAGTAACACTTGAAATTGCTGTCAGGGAAGGACTGGAGAAAAGCAGAGTTTGTTTATTTGGGGCCATTAGCTGTATTTTACGTCCAGACGTTTCAATTTCCCCTGATCACAGGAAACCTGCTATTCCTGAAAGCAATAGTGAAGGGATTTCTGTTTTTATTTTTTTTTAAAGAAGGCACGCTGGGAAAGCTACAGTAAATCAGGGTAGGAGCGCACAGTTCAAAATGCAGGGCACAGGATCAAAACCAGAATAAAAAACAGCTACTTTATAAACTAACAGCATCACTGCTAAGCTGGGAAGCAGTACGTGTAACCTTTCATCTCCCAGTCAGAATTTCTGATGCAGCTACATCACATGACAGTCTTACTGGCTTTCTTACCTGCTTAGCCATCAGTGTAAATCTGTGCCATGTCACAACATCATCATTATTAAAGGATATGGCAAAGAGAACAAGAACCAGAGAAAAGCAAACACTGAACTCTCGTCTTAAGAGCACCAAAAAACTCCTTAGTCTTTACAGTCAAAAACCATATTTTAGTGTTAAAAGAATTTCAGGTTCTCACGTTGTCTAAATGGCTTCTTCCACCTATGCAGAAGCCTCAATGACAGAACAGCGAGTGCCTGGAATGCAGTGGACAAACACTACCAGACAGTTTTGTGCTTTACTGAGACAAAATCTGAGAGTTAAATTTAGACTGATGACTTCTGCAGGCACTCAGATGTTTCTGCTTTAAGTTTTCTAGAAATTGCAAATGAGAACTTGGCAGAGTTTAAATTGACCCAGCATGTTTCTTCTGGGATCCAAATCATATTCTGTCCTATTACTCTGCAAAACTGTTAAGAAAAAAAAATCATGCTTTTCAACACATGGCTTCAGACAACTGACAGAGACATTCCATTTATTTTTGTGCTGAGAAGAAAACCACAGGTACCGTTTTTTTCTTCTTCAAAAGTCACTACGAAAATTAATAGAGGAATCAAAGTTGCTCCATGGCAGCATAAGCACAGTTTGCTGAACAACACTACTTACGTAACTGCATTAATTCAAATATGGCTACGGTAATTTCTTTCCATTTACCATGGGAAAATACATTGCACTTGGAGACTCTGATCTCATTCTTAAATACCAGACACTTAGCAGAGCATGCAGGTGTCACCAAGCTGTGTTGTGGATGCAGCTGGTAATCCTTGCAAACTTATCTGCAATCTTTGAATGGCAGCAGAGACACTGTGTTGTTTTCTGTTTGTTTGTTTTGCAGTACCATGAACAGTTGATTGAATGAAAAAGCTCAGAGGTTACAGACTGAAGAAATTTAGGTCGTTACTTCTCCATCTACTGGTAAACAGACAGCACTACCCAGTGTCCCCCTGCTAACCTACAGGATATTGTAATACTCAGAGCAGCTTAACAGCAAACACTAACATGTAATAAGCTCTTCCCTTTCGTTTGCAGTATGAAGTTTCAGTGTGCTGTTATCACAGAGAGCACAACGCTGTCAGACTGAGCCGTACCACAAGAGTTTCACAGCACTTTCACAAACATTACTTTTCTAATCCCTACAGTAGGAATAAATCTGATAGTTTCCATGTAGAAGAGACCCTATCCACCAAAGTCTAAAGTAAATTTCCTAATATCATAGTAAATCTATGGTAAGACTTGGAAAATAAATTAATTTTCCAATTCCCATACATATTAAGTTGCAGAATACACCACCCCCCTCGCCCCTCAGCTTTTATTAGACTTTTTTAGTTCAACTTTAACAGACTGCTGTTGGCTGCTTCTGCTATTCCATTTCTTCTTCACAGGACCAGAGCCATCCTTCAAAGGCCAACTTGGCAAGAAGTCACAGTAAATGCTTGACAACAATTACCTCTAGACTCGTGAGATTCAAATTAGCAATTCTGTATCTGAGTATGGTGTGATTAAACTCTAGAATTTAGTTCAGAATGTGTCCTATTTTCAGACATTGCATTTTTTAACCACTCTCTTTGGAACGTCAGATGGACATGGACTCAGACACCTCGTGCCTTTTGAAAACGAGCGCAGTGGAGTCCTTCTTTTGTTAGCCAGCACCAGGCACAGAGTCTGTTCTCGGGAAGAATAGAAGCCAGAGAAATGAGAACATTTCAGGACACTGGTAAGGGACCTGTGCCATTCTGGAAGGTAAGGAGAAGCCACACAGCCCCACTGTGCAAAAGCAGTCCACTCTTCAGCGTGGAGCTTCTTTCTCTGGGAACCAAGTTGTAGCATATTGTTTTGGCTTTGAATGTTGAATTTCAGGCATACTCCACAGTTTGGAGTCCAAGTCAGCATTAACATTAGACACAAGCCACAGAGAAACTTCCTGTCATTCAAGAGCCATTGTCCTGCTTTCTCACAGATACTGAGCTCCAAAAGATGCCCTCTGATAACTGCAAATATGAACTTTTCCCAGTTCTAGGGTGTTTAACTCTTAGATTTTCAGTTATTGCTTATAAATGCTGCTTCTTCTGAGAATGGACAAACATTTATGGCTTCACTGCATAAGCCCTCCAAAAATAACTTGAAAGTCAGTAGTTAAAACCCATCAGTGTATCATGTTTATTTTGCAGATCTGTTACCAACTCCTAGTATAGAAACTTTGCCAAAAATGAAACTTCTAAGAATTTTTTCACTATTGACTCCTGCTCTTAAAGGCTCTCCAAATTCCTCTTACAGCTCCACTGCTGGGAAAAGGAGGGAAAAAAAAAACAACTGCTGCTTTTTTTTTTAATTACTGGCCTGTTTTTGTCACCTGGAAAACCACACGTGAAGCTGGTGCACTGACAGGCAACTGCTTTTCAACATATGGAAGCATTTGGCCATTGAATTTTTTCTTCAATGGTTTCTTCAAGATTCTGATGCCAATTTACATTCAAAATAGCAATAGGTGACGCACCAATATCACCTGGTAGGACATCCCCTATGCCAGGGGCATGGGTGAGGAGATTTTTGAGCTCACAGCACCATCTCTCAATGCAGTTTTCCTCGACCAGAAGTGTCATATCCTCAAGTGTCCATCTGGGATAGAAAACAGTGAGAAAAAAATGATGCATGCATTTAAGGACCAACAGACACACTGAGACCCATAGACAAGAAAAAGATGTAACTTCTCAAAAGGCACTCAGGCACTACAGGTTAACTCGAAACAATCCCAAACAACTGATTGGCAGGCTACATTCCAGAATAAAATTGTGGGCATGTTTGCACTGGGTCTTGCTGGGAGACACTTTTCTGCCATGAACCTCTGGATGGTTTCATCAAGTTTTTTTTCCCCCTCTTACAAAGATTCACTGAAAACTCAGCATGCAAGAGATAAAACAAGAGGTTAATCAAGATAAATGAACACAGAAGTTGGATAGTTGCCTCCTTTAAAACAATAAAGCAATTGTGTCCCATAGATATAAATAATTGTTGTAAAAACTCCAATCTGCACAATTGCAAAACCACCAACTACTCAGTTGGGAAAGAGTGATTGAAAGTAGCTTAATTACCAGTTAATTGCAGAAGGAATAAACACTTTTTCAAGAAGTGCATTATTGAGATAATAGAGACACTGTCTACAATGTCAGGTTTTACCCCATCACCAGACCCACTGCTAGCAGTCCCACAACAGCGACAGCTCACCGTGAAGCATCCACAGTTTGACAGAAACAATGCAGGACTGTCAGAACCTCACGTAATGAACTGCAGTGGTACACCGTGAACTCTGCACATAAGGTCTTCTCTCCTGTACTGCAGAGAAACAGAGTGCTCCAGGAGCTTCTCTCTCCTCTCCCCACACAGCAGGCTGTACAGCCGCCCTGTTCCATCGCTGCTGTGCTGAGTGCCTGCAAGCTGCTCCCGTGCTGCAGTGCTGGACAGCCGCAGCCCAGCAGGGGAAGCGGTTTGGAGCTCCTGCAGCTCACAGGAGGAGCACAGCAGGCGGCCTGGCCCCACCAGCCAGCTCTGCCCCACATTCTGGCTCCCCATCCTCCAGCCTCCCATTCTTTACACATGAGGATGACAGCAAGCTTTTGCAACCACATGACAGTCTTAAGAAAGATTTTTCTTTCCCAACAAGAGTAGCCAAAAAGCACTTTTAAAAAATCTTTTCCACACCACCAACCTTCTCTTTAAACGCTGCTGTAAAGAACGCTGCAGTCCTTTCACAGCATAAAGGATGACAGTTTTCTGATCTCCAGAATTCTGAAGTATGAAGAAAACTTAGGACTACATTTTGTGGACAGTATGCATGCAGTCAACCAACTACACACACACAGTTTTTACAGGAAATATTCTGAGCTTTGTAAACACGACGAGCACAAATAGAAACAGAACAAGGAAAAGAAAAGAGGGGAAGTACAACAAATCCCTGCACTCCTCAGCTCTCAGCCAAAATTCAGTCTTCTATGTACTGAGCATGAGACTTGCTAGTGTATGTACTGTGCAGTGAGGGTAAAGAGACTCATTGAGACACAGCACACCTGCTAAAATTGGCAGTAAAATCAGTCAACTCCTGCAAATCAGTAGTGCCCGGTGCAAACAGAAAGCAAGTCTTCATTTCTCTGGCACAAGATTATGGCAAGTACCACATACAGGTCAAACATTTATGAACAAAAGTAAAGAATCTAGTCAAGGCATTTACATTAAAATAAAGATTGCATTTCACTGTGTGGGAAAAAAACAACCAGTAAGTGTACCAGAGTCCTAAGCTCAGATGAGCTCTGCTCAAGCAGTTCTTCCTAGGAAAAACAGCATGGAGACAGCCTGAGCCAACTACACCCACTGCAGAAGCACCAGGATGATATTCAGGCATTGCAATAATTGCTACAGCATCCACAGTAAAAGGATACAGGAAATAAGGAGTGAACTTTTGACACTTTCATCTGGACTTCGCCCACCTATGGGCAACTCATTGATCCAAATTAACTCAACTCCGTATTTGAGTGTTCCTACTCTGAATCCTTTCCTGCCTTAGCATTCTTTCAGTACACATGCTCTCCACCAAATACCATTAAACTTGACAGAGTCAGAGAAAGTTTTGTAGACATAATGCTGGAAGGATGACCAACATCATTCTGTAAGGAAGAGACCAGTGGCACCTTTGCACGGTACTGCTGCAATTTCTCACCAAGGATGGAATTCTGTTATGACAATGCTGTGTTTGTGCTGCATTACTAAAAGCACATTTGGAAACATCTCAACAGAAACCAAAACAGAGGTATGTTACTACCCAACTACACAGGAAAAGATTCATTTGTAACATGCAGCCAGTTTAACAATTGCAGATTCCACATTAAAGAGCACAAAATGTTCCACCTTTGCACTAGTTAAGTTTGACTAAGAACTGCAACTTACTGAGCAATGCTCAAAGCAGGCTGTACTGTTCCCCTTTTAAGATTCTCCTTTAGCACGTCACAATTCCTCAGCAGCTGAAGCTCTATCAGTAGTTCTGTTCAAGCCCTCTCTGCAAGTTTTCTCAGCTCTGCTATCCTATTTTGTTTCTCGCTGAAACTGAACTTGAAGCTCAGGCTCCAGACCCATAGCAAGAAATTAAACAACAGAACTTTGTTCATTTGTTTATGAAAGAACCAGGTCTCCAATTTCAGGTTCTTCAGTGTTCTGGTTAGGGTGGAAACAACGTAACGTGGTTGAAATTTAGGAGCATTCAGTTTTTAATCAGAGACCTGCTCGAGATGCACGCTGCCTTTCACTATAATTACCTCAAATAGCGTCATCACTATTTAGATAGCAACCGATTATTTTCTCTAAAGCACATCATACTGTGAAATGTAAACTGGACGAGCATCACACTGATTAGCTGCTACAGCATAAGCATGCAAAGAATTGTTCTAAATCAAATTTATTCCTTAGCAGGATAGTTTTGAAAGGAACCGTCCAGCCCCAGTCAGTCATCTCTAAGTACAAAAAAACGTAAAATGTATTTAGAAGCTACAGTGTCAGGATTAGCATAATTTACTAGGACTGAAAATTCAACTAAACTTCTTAAATTTGGTTGAAATACTTGAGTTACAAGAGGTTCTTATGCACTTTCAAGGTGGGAGTAGCGATTCTTTTCTCTTACACAAATTTAGACAACTGTGTTCTCTTTTCAGCCTCCTGGCCATCTGTAGAGATAGGGAGGTGTGTGCAGATGTGGGCTCAGAGCAGAATGAGCTACTTGTCTCAGCTTGTATTTTTGGCAGCCACCAATTTCACCCTCACCCACCAGAAGCAGAGCAGTTACCAGCCTTGTCTTCAACCCCTTTTCTAAGTATCTGCCTTTCTTCCTGGCTTTGCTGGAACACTTGTCACCATATTTGCCCAAATACATTAATTAGTGGCTTTAAACTAACAGTTTTTGCGATGGAAACATTTCAGGTCTTTAGAGGGAAAAGACTGAGATTGAAAGTGGAAGAGGAATAGATGTCCAAGTTCTCTAAGTTCATACCATATACATTTGACAAATAACTCCAGACAATATCAGATATTACATCTGAAATCTCCTTCCCCCATCTAATGCTGTCCTAAGTCTTCATAAGGCAACTAAGATGAGCTCAACTTCCTTTGCTTTACTTAGGATCCAGCTGCTAGCTCCAACAGGGACCTAGGTAGAACTTCAGTCTAGATTAAAGAACTGGAGGAAACTTCCATTCTCACTGCACTTGTTTTTCAGGAAAGGAACCAGGGCCATAGAAATTTCTTCTTTCAGTTCACTTCAAGGTACAGAGTCGAGCAACTGACATTCACCTACAGTATTTCTAACTTTAATTAACAGCACACCCCTACCAGGCACACTTGTTGCGCCTTTATACAAAAAGCAGAAGCCATAGAATCATATAGCATGTGCTGGAATAAAGATACCACACAGAAGTTTCTAAAGCTTTACCCATTTCAACAGTGACAACCAAATTCAGTGGGGTGCACCACGCTGCCTGGTTTCCAATGCCCTACAACAAATGGCAACATTTTTCAAGTCTCCTCCAAGATCAGCTCTGTGACAACAAAATCCAGTGCTAAAGATCCATCCCCCTAACAAAAATAATAATTCATAGTCTCGTTGCCAGTAGGATAGATCACTTCATACTGAAGTCTCACCAGACAAGATCAGCAGCATTGTGCGCCCATGAAGATCCTGATCCCAAGCCTCAAGTCTCCTCATCTTCTGTGACTGCTGAGCTAAAGCTCATTTCTGGAAACAGGCAATTCTTGTTCCCAAACCAGCTCCACATAGCTTCATGCTCACTTGTAGTCCCTTAATGCTTTTCCAGGAAGGCAGACACTGCCAGCTGAGAACTATGATTAGGGGAAGACTCTGCTTAGGGTTATAGACACCTGAATTAACACAGTGGCTTGGGAGAAACATTTCCATGTGTAACATCGTATTTGTACCTCAGAGGATACTTAAGGACACCTCAGGGCCCAAGGCTTTAAACACTACACTGATACTCAGATTTGCTGTGCTACAAGTCAAACAAGAAATGCATTTAGTGAAAGTGTCTCCCCTCCCAAGAATAAAAGGAAGGAGAGAAATAAAGGCCTTCCAAATCAACTTGCTCTTTGCTGCTCCTCCTGTGGGGCAGCGTATGAGGGGTAACGGCAGTTCCTCCCTGCTGAGTTTGTTTGCTCTTAGGTCAAACAGCCAGTTCAGCTTCAACCATTGCTTCACTTCTAACTACATTAGGAGCTTTAAGGTCTAAAACCTTAATGGGTGCTGTTTTCTAAGATTTCTCCAGGTTCTGACATCTCATGGTTACCCACTAATGTCAGTGTTGTTCTCAATCAGATATTCAAACATTTAATTTTTCAATAAAGTCAATTTAAAGTAAATGGGCAGTAAGAATGTGAAGTAGCAAAATTTAATTTAATGTGCTAGCCAGACATGCCCCAAATTTATTTTTAAGGATACAATTAAGAGTAATTTAATTCCCTTATGCAGATATTACATAGAAGAGAAACACTGCCGTAAAAAGAATTTACTACTATTGTACACAAACCTTATGACAGATAAATTAGAGCCCAGTAACAAAACATATAGAATATGCTGCTTTATGTCAATCACAAGCAGCATTTCGGGGCTATTCAATAGTTTGCCAAGCCACAGTATAAGAGAACTGCTTTAAATCAATCCATGCAACAGGATCACTTCAGTTTCCACAATCCAAGAGATCTCCTAAAATAGCAAATGGATTTCATAAGACGATTCCTCTTCAGCATCCACCAGCACCTCCAGTTTGGCAGCATATTAAGAAAGCATTCTACTATGAAAAGAGAAAAATTTTGCATAGCTGTGGAAAAATTCCATGAAGTGAAACAATGAGGGCATGGCTTTTAATAATCCATGGTCTTTACTACTTGAGAAACCAATCAGCAAATGTGCAGATGGCCCAGTAACAGAGCAGCTCTGGTTGGCTGCACAGAAAATCCACACATAGGATTAGTCTCAATTCTTGGTTTTAGCTGGCAGAGGACAGACACAGCAGTCCAGTACCATGCTTTACATACCTTTCAGTAGCAGCAGAACAAACTACATGCTCTGAATTTTTTCTTATGTTTCCCCTATAACTAGCACCTTGCCTACATTCCTGTACTGCATAGGAAATGAACAGAAAGGTCAGAACATGCATTGCAAAGCAAAACTATGAATATGGGGCAACAGACCAACATGGAGTGGGGTCCAAAAATTCTCAGTCCTCCTTCATTCCGTGACATTAAAGGTCCAGAAACATGAGGCAATCTTGCTCCAAAATAAAGTAAAAAAAAAAAGTGCAAGCAGTTTAACTTACCCACATGATTTGTAACAATTCCTGCACACACTTTTTCTTAAAGAGACATAAATTTAAAGTTATTCAGAGAAGTGGAACACGATCTGTGTGAGCTGACACAGTGCACCACTGTCTGCATTTTCTGTCGTCATTGCTCTGTGAAAGGCTCACACGTAAGAATGAAAAACTTCACAAGTGCCAAGAAATGCAGAAGAACAACTGAAAAAATATTGTCTCTGGTCTTGTCATTTTTATTAACCACTGCTTTAAATAGAAATAGAAGCAAATGTTTTCAGGTAGGGCATCTTAGGCCTTTTTTTCCAGAAACTTTGCACAACAACATTATATTTGTCACATGCATACTTCAATTACAACATCTGTACTAAAACAATTATTTTCTTAGAAATGTTTGAGATTTGCATTTTTCTGCTATTTAAATCTGTAATTGTAATGTTCATGTTACTTTTAACAGGATTTTTCCCTTTAATTTCATGGCTGCTGCATATATAGCAGTAAAATAACCTTCACTTGCCAATACTGCTCATTTTATAGGAAATCCAGGACACTACATCAGCCAAGCTTTCCTCACGCATATGTTGTTAGAACAGAAGAGCCTTCTCTCCCTGACCTCAATACAAACTAAGTTACAGAAATGTGATGCTGAAGTCCTCTGTTGGCATGGCTACACTTATCTTAAGCCCTAACTCACCAACAGCTGCCAGTTAGCATAGCAGGGCACAGACTGAAGCGCAGCACTCTCGCTTCCCTAGCACCTCCCTCAGACAGCCAGGACTGCCTCTCACAGTTGCCCAGGGATGCTCCCTCATCCAGCCCAGTACAGATACTCAAACTGCCACCTTCTTCAGTTTTCTTTTACATCTAGAAGCGCCAGCATGTCCACGTGCATTACCCATAACCAAGGACAAGACTCTGAAAACTTTACAGTTTTTAACAGATATGTAATGCCAATCACAGTGGCTTTTTCCACACATAAGCTTGTTAGCCAGCCAGGGCATCTCCCCCTCCCTTCTTTCCAGCCATGGACATGCTCTTCAAAGAGCTCTATTTATATGCCAAGTTACAAAGTTCAGCTGCTTCCAGAGCAACATGGAAAAAGTGCAGCTTTTATGGTTCTACAGTGAGGCTTTTTCACAACTCGAAGCAGCCTGGACTGGTTTCTTTTCTCCCACAGCCTTCTTCCCTCCCCACCTCAACAGGATTCACTTCATAAATGAGAGACAGCTTAAAAGAAAAAAAAATCTGCCAAGACAGACCCTTGAGGAACACCAAAAAGCTTCCAAAGAAAAGAGCTCCACAACCTTAAGCATCACTGTTACTGAATGAACATTCAAGGCAAATACTGCTTACAAGCTAGAAACGGGTTCCCAAGATCTGCAAGTCTACCACAATTTAAACTGCTTCACAAACACATACAGAAGGCATGCCCTCTGCCCTCATTGCTCTGCTCCTCTTTTCCCAATGGCCTTCTATACAACTGCTCAGCTAAGTTCTGACTCTGCTTTAAGAATAAGGATCAGCACACATGGCGCCGATCTTCTGCAATCACCTTCCATTTGCCTACGCTTTCTTCTTAGTTCCTTCTGAACCTCTGCTATGAAACCAATTGCATCTGCAGTGCCATCTCAGAGCAGAAGCCATGAGGCTGGATTCAGCCACTTACTCACCTGGGGTTCCCCCAACACACAAGGATTTCTAGAAAAAAACCTTCCTCAAGTTCCTCAAGAAATTCAGTCCTGGATTCCTGCCTTGCATTCAAGCTCCTGAACCCTCTGGAGCAAGAGCTGGTGCTTCATCAGCATCCTTTTTGTGGAGAGACAATATTGTCAGTAGCTCAATAATAATGATTCGTGTGGAAGAACAACCCCCCCCCATCCCCTCCCTTATTATTATTTTTTTTTAAAATTTACAAACAGGCATAAAAATTCTGCAAGGACAAAAGATTCTACACAGAATGTGAGAACAAGCACTGGACTTGCATTATCAATGACAAGATAATGAGAAGCAGAAACCTGAAAGTATTAAAACCACACCATTAGCAATCCGTACCCACTCTTTTCCCCATTCCTCCCCTTCTGCACCAACGTGAAGCAGAGAAAAACTGGAAAGTTCCAGAGAGCAAAAAAAAAAGACACATGCATCCTAAACACAACCAAGAACGTAGCACAGGTTAAAGGCAGCCCCAGCTGCTCTCACGGCCTTCCTCTCCCTCCCAAACCTGCAGGAATAACTGCAGCCCATCTTTTCTGATGGATTGTCTCAGAGGCAGACTGTCCACCTTCTGGGGGAATGCAGAGAGCAACCACCACGCACACACAAAGGACTACACCAACAGTCCCTATAGGCACCACCAAAGGCCTCCCTCACAGCCCCTGTATGTCTCCATCTCCCTTCCTTCCTGCCAACACCAGGCCCTCCCTGCCTCCTCCACTGCTTCCTTCGGGTGCTCCAAAAACAGTTACTGCATTCTCAAAAAGAAAATCCGCTAAGACCAATTCTTCAGAGAGCCCTGCCTTCTCCTTTCTTTCCAAATTACTCTGCACGAACGAAGGAGAGAATTTTAATTTTCTTTTTCTTTGTCCCCAGAGCACACAGCCACATTTCTTACACGAGATGTGGAACACTTGACAGCTACAACATCCACCCAAGTCTTGCACCACGTTAGCTGCACTTCTTTACAGGAGGCGTAAAAATTCCATTTTAAACTTTACAGAAGAAGTCAAAGGGCGGCAGCAGGCAGCCGAGAGCCCGGCGCAGGCAGGACTGCTCCATTTCACGCCCGTTTCCAGCGCTCCACTCGGTGCCATCGGGCGCAGCTCTCGGCGCAGGACATTTTCTTACTTTCCGCAAATCACACAGCGCCATTTGCAGGGGCGTGTAAATAAATAATGCCATTTCGCCAGGTAACGCGCGTTTCTACTTCAATTCGAAACTCAGGACCCCGTTCGTCCTCCCGGCTACCGCCATAGGAACCATCGGCTTCGCGATCCTCAGAGGGCAGCCGGCGCCGGGGGACGCAAACCACAAACCGATGGCGCCCCGCTCCGCGCGGCGGGCAGCGGAGCGGGGGCCAACTTCGCGGAGGACCCCCGGCACCCGCCCGGCACCTGCCCGCCTCCTCCGCCTCTCCGTCCCCGTCCGAGGACGCTTCCGCCCCGCCGCCCGTCCGCGCCCGGCCCCGGCCGCCCCGCACCTGTGCCCGCCGCCAGGTACGGCCGCACCTCACGGAGCGGAACCCCCAACGGCCGCCGCGCGCCGCGACCCTCCGCGCGCGCACCGGCGTCCCCCCGCCCCGCGCCGCCTCCCCTCCCCCGCCCTGCCCTTGCCTCCTGCCCGCAGTGCCCGGTGCAGTGGGAGGAGCGGTGCCCGGCGCCCGCCTCCCCTCGGGATCGTTCGGGGACCGCCGGCGGCCGCCTCCGGCCCTCCCCGCCGCCCACCCGTCTCACCCCGCTCGCCGCCGGCCCCGCCGCAGCCCCCGGCCCCGGCCCGGCTCCGCGGCCCCGTCCGGTTCCTCCGGCTCCGCAGCGGCGAGCGGGGCTCCGGCACGTGACAGCGCCCGGCGCCCCCATAGGCTGCGGCTGCCGGGCAACGTGAGCCCGCCCCCTCCCTGCACCTGAGAGAGAGCCTTACGCCAACGACGTAGGAAGATGCCGGCCCGCCGCGCCAAGTGCGTAGCGGCGCCCCGCCGGCCGTTTCCTCCCTCCTCGCGGCAGCGCAGCGCAGCCTTGCGGAATTGACGTAGAGGTTCCCGGCCCGGCCTGGCCGATTTCCTACCTGCAGCTGCTACTCCTTGCGTAGCCTGCGTAATCCTACCCGTCCCCTGAGGAGAGCGCTCTCTGCAGCTCGGACGGCTCCCGCGGATGTGCGGGTGAGGAGCGGCCAGGCCCGCACCAAAGAACGTCACTTACGTAAAGCCCCTCAAAGCGGTCGGTGTGCTTACGGATTCTCCGTAATGTCGTCAGCGCGAGCACTGCACCTGAGAGGGTTCCTGGTGCGCAAATGCCGTAGGTGCTAGCGCGCCGGGCGCAGAGTACGTAAGCAGCGCGGTAGGGTCCTCCCCATCCCTGTGGGCCTGGTGCGAGGCGAAGGCGGGAAGCAGGTGTGTGCGAGGCGTGTGAGCGCGGCTCCAGCGCTCCTCAGGGCGCCAGGAGCCGCCGACCCACCCCGGGCTTCTCAACCGCCAGATCTCACTGCTACCCGCCTGCCACAAACGCCCCAGGGCCGTGAGGGTAATCCTCACCGCGGGCGTCGTGACCCCGTGAGGCGATGGGCACGGCCTGGCCTGAGGGAGAGAGGAGCTGAGGGGCGAGGTGGGGTCCCAATGCCCTTTCATCAGTGTGCGTGCTTCACGGATTTTATACCCTGCTTCGAAATCTGAAGCAGTGCAGAAAGAGAGCAGCTGCCCGAATTGAGCTGAGAAGCAGTGTTTCCTGGTGGGTTTCTGTTCTCCATCTGGGTTCCTCAGTTGTTGCCAGAGGGCTTAAAATCGATGCTTTCCTGTGGTGAACGTGGCAGGTTGGGCTGCGCGAGGGGTATGGCAGGCAGCAATTACCTCTTTCGCTTCTAGGGATGGGGACAAAGAGCCGTTCTGTGGTTAGGTGTAAATTCTGCCACTGAGAGCTCTGGAGCTCCGTCCACCACCAGCAGTGGGGTGGGAATGCTCAGCAACGCTTTTCAGACCCTTCAGAGAAGCCTCTTGCAGCCTTTTGATGAGGAGAGGGGGCTGAATCTGATGGCTGGTGGTTTTTTGTTTCCTTTGTGTGTGTGCTGCAGAGCATCTCTGTGCTTCTGCTTCAACATCCAAATGGCCAGTAGCTTCACGTTTCACGGCCTTAAATGATATTTGACTTGTAATTTGTGTTTTAAAAAAAGTTTTTTTTCTTCAGACTTAGCAGCCTTGGTATCAGTGTAAGGGATGAGTGCCCCCAGAGCTGACTGCATGAGTGCATCTAAGTTTCCACAAGGTTTTCCAGTTTAAGTGCTTTTTTCAACTTTGAACATGGCATCTATGCTGTATGGTATCACTTTTCAGAACTAATCCAATATAGGCTGTAAGATGAAAGAAATTGACTGGGGAGCTCCTTGCTAGCATAATCAATGCACAGCATGCTGTGTTAAAGCAGCCTGTGAGGAACTTTGGCAAAGGCAGTAGGATCAGGAATTCTGCAGTGCCGAAGATAAGCAGTAAGTTTCATTCAGAACAGCAATTTGCAGCATTGCAGTGGAAGAAGAAAACACATATGCATGGAAACATGACCTGTAGTGGGAGGTTCAAACTGAGCTGCTGATGGTTGGTATGCTTCTTCACAAGGCTTGTCTAAGCTGTCACCCTAGTCCTGAAGAAAGACAGCTCTACTTCTGCAATGGTGCATAAGGAGTATTAAAAGGAGAAGCATGTCTAATGACTCTCAATTACTGCTTTCCAGTCTAGAATTGGGAACTTTTGAAGCAATAAGTGAATTTACCAGAATGTCCTGTTGCCTTGTAGCGTAGGCCTTTGAGAAGGGGCAAGAAAGTAACAGCTAGATAATCCAGGGACATTCCAAGGACTTGATGTAAGGACACTTTTGTTTGAAATTGATTGCAGCAAATGACGATGTACCAATGTAGCCTGAACAAAGGCTGATGGAGGAGACAGGAACGGGGAGCTGTGGAAGAATGGTGACTGCAGTGCAGCTGGAAATGTAACAAGGAGAGAGAAACATACAGGAGACTGCATCTCAGATAATGAAGAAAGGTATTTTCAGGTAAGGCATGAGTTGTATGTTTTCTTGAATTTTAAGATTTTCCATGGAGTTATCATTTGGGCTAGTTGTTTGCCAAGGGCTAGGGGAAAAAAAAGATAGGAAAGAGGAATGGTGGATTAATTTAGAATACAGGGAATTGGAATAGCTTTGGCACTGCAGCACAAGGTTATCTGTTTAACACTGAAAAGAACATCTGATGTTTGAAGAAAGTTTACCAATTTTCTTTAGACTTCATTAAATAAAATAGAAGAAATAGAAATGTATATTCTAGGTGTAGTCAGTAAGTGATGAGGACTTGAATTGTACCAAAGATCAGCCAGTTATATGGAAGCAATATACAGATCTGAGATGTTAATACAGAGAATACTTGTGGTAAGTGACTGAAGTCTTCTAAGACTGTTTATTTCACTGAGATTTACAGAGACATTAAATGTAGTTTGTAAAAATCTCAGTGCCTGGACTGATTTTACAGCTTGCAGATCTTATTGTGGTTATCTTGCATTCCATAAATCTGATAAAAAAATTTTATTGCCAGTATTAAATAAAAAATAGAAGCAAAGCAGGAGTTGCTGTGTGACCAATGTATGAAAGCAGTTTTCATGGAGACCAAAAAAAAATCCCTGGAAAAATGGAGGAACTCTTTACAAGAAGCTGTTGAAAGTTACTGATTTTAAGGTTGGCATGAATGAGGCACTGCAACCTGCAGCAGGGCACCTCGTGGGAGGATGTCCTTGGATGCTTCGCATCAGCCACAAATGCTGCATTGAGGACTAAGTGACTATTAGCTACAGTAAAGAGAAAAAAATCCTACCTGAGCAGGGATAAAACGTAACTTATCAAATTTCAAGTGTTTGGCATTGTTTGTGGACAAATGGGATTGTTCATATAGAGCCTGAGGGAAGAGATACTCTTGTAATAGCTCAGAAAAGAGATCTCTGTTTGAGGCTTGCCTTTGTCCAGTGACCCAGTTCTTTACAGGTTTCAAATTCTGCCTTTAGGCATAAATACTAAAGTTAATGGGATTTGTGCAAAACTATCTGAGGACAGACTGAATTGGGGGAAAAAAGAAATGTCATATTAGACATATATTTCACAAATCTTCATGGAAAAGCTACCTCCATATGTGAAAACAATATAATGACTCCAAGAACTAAAAAATAACACACAAAAAACACAGAATTTGAAAAAGAAACTTGCTTGATTCTGTTTTTAATCTATAAAACCAAATAATTCCATGTTTTATACTTAATTTTAAGCAAGGCTGATGATACACTTATTGTCACTGTTTGCATGCTTTGAAGTTTGGCAGTGCTTGATTACTTTCCACAAAGGAGGTTTGTGGTATTTAGGTAGGTATTAAAGGAGGTATTTAGAAGGGTGATAAGTTAAGATGGGGATCTGCAAATGTGAAGTATTCTGAAGGAAGTGTCATCGTTAATGACAAGAATGAAGTTGGAAACAATTTCATGTAACATAGAACAATGTCCAGAGCCCCTTTCACATCTTGTGTATTTACTTTGTGAGCAGTAAATAATGGAAGGAAGTAGAATGTCAAAAGACACAAAAGGGAAAAAAATGGAAGATCACAACATTGTCTGGTTTCTAAAGGAGAAAAAAAAAAAGCAGCAATAGCTGGAGGTGAAAATTAAAGAGTTATAATACATACAACATAAAAATAGGTGGAGAGTAGATTAAAACTGTGCTCAGGACAGGTAAACACATGAAAAACAAAACCAGCCTGTTACAATTGGAGAGATTAACGTGTTGGAAGGGTGATTCAGGAGTAGAACAGCAAAGGGACCAGCATAGATAGAATGGTGTTACAAAGGAAAATGAAAGTTCTCACCCATCTCTGAACATCTTGGCTCACAGGAAAGACTCAGCAAGAAGGGATCCCCAACCAGAGATCTTTCTGCAGTGGCAGTCAGCCCTTAAATGAGGTCTAAGAGAGGTGCAGCCAGGCTCCATCCTTTCCTGTCACACAGCTAAATTGCCTTCACCTGTGCTCCCAGGGCTGATGGGAGTCCTTTCCCCAGATGCTCAATCAGTGGTTCAGTTCCCATACGCAGCTGGGTAACTGTGCATGTATTAAAACCCCAGATCACTAAAAATATTTCTGCAGCTTGCACTGAAATCAAAAGCTAAAAATGCATGTAGTCAATTTGTTGGGGTGGTCCGAGAGTGAGGGAAAGGAAACCAACGCTGAAAACCTCGCAAATTTTAAGTCTGTTTTTCTGCAGTGTGCGGGTGGAAGATCTGCAGAGAAACATGGGATGATACCAGCACTGGAAAGCTCTTTTCTAGGGCAGATAAACGTTGGTTTTGGTGTTTTGGTACATAGGTGTTCATCTTCTGAAAGTATAACTGAGCCTTAACTGAGCAGCTCTTCTTTTAATGCTGTCTTATGTGACTTAAGCCTGGGTTCTCACCGCATGGTTAGGAGCTGTTATGTGCTTTAACATGGGCTGTAACATGTCTGTTTTCATGTGAGCATGAAAGCTGAGTTTCTGTTTGATACTACTCAAATGCCATCTCGCTCCTCCTCAGGCATCCTGCTTTGCTCCTAGCTGTCAGAATCAACTTTCTTTTTTGTATCTACCTGACCTTGGGTTTAATTGTCTTGTACCCTTTTGCCTTCGTTTTTGTTTGGCCCACAGTGACAACCTGGTTAATTAGTGAGATTGTGTAGCATAGAGTTTTATTCTGACAAAAGCTTGTAAGATCTATACTCATTCAAAAACAAAAACATCAGGAAAAGAAAAGAAGCAGATGACTCTGGGTAGAGGGTAAGAATAAAAAATCTGTGCTGCAAAACAAAGGATTGTATGCGTAAATCTGGCAGTTCTCTGTGTACCTTCTTTGTTGCTGAGTTTGACAGAGTACTTGCTAGTGTGTCCTGAATGGTACTTGTTTTGCTTTGAACTGGAAGAAAAGGTGATAGAATTGTATTGGAGGAAAATTAGACAGTGAAAAAGAGAAATCATACCATGAAATGTATCATAGTGCTCATCAAATCTCAAAGCAGTCTCTGTGGGGTAACATTTCAGAGTTCCTTTCATCAATAGGGATGAGGATCAACCTGAAAAGCGAGCAAAATTGAACCAAGTAAGTAGGAAACACATTCAGGTTATGACTAATGCAGTTATTAGAGACTACTGCATGCACTGAGGTGGATTTAGCTTCAAGTAAGAACAGAATTTATGCATGTGTGATTGATTCCAGGTTGGATTACAATTCAGAAGTGCAATTAGTGAGTCATTTGCTATTTTATATCAATTATTAAAAACAAAGGTCTAGGTTAAAAAAAAAAAAAAAACAGTGCCTATTCCAGTATGTGCTGTTCTACCTGTTAGTCTTCTGACTTCATGTTTTGTCTGATGTGCCTTAGCTTTCCTGAGTGTGGTGGTGTGGAATGTTTCTCACACTAGCAAGTGAATTTCTATGCATTACAGCAGCACTCAGCATTGCAGTCCCTCAGCTGTGACCCCATCTCTGCATCCTTTACTTCCTTTGTTTGGCTAGAACCAGCCCAAGTACAGCTGTCTATAGTGGACCTGCATATCAGCAGCTTCCCATCTGTAAAAGAAGCGCACACAACGTAGCTTGCATCTGAATTGTTCACAGGCCAGGCTGTCTGCAGTCCACTTGTCTTCTCACCACCATCTGGCAACTGCTGGATGTATAATTAAAGCTTTTCCATTGGTGGCCATACAAATCTCATAGCAGTAAATGCTGTTTTTAAGATGTGTGTGCACGCAGATGTATTTTCTGCTAATATTTGATTGTGGCGCGTGTTCCAGGAGTGCTAGCTCAGAAATTAAAACTGTGTAGTGAATCTGATGTTTCTTCAAAACACTGACTGCGTCCTGCCATAGGGGAAAGATGAGTCCTTCAGAGGGCTGTGCCATATTGCTTATCACAAGCACAGGGAGGGCGCACGTTCACATATGGGAAAATATGTCAGTGTGAAAAAAAAAAATAATAATTCCTGTCTGAAAATGCTCATGTAAGTTGGGGGAATTTAGTAAATTCTTGCTGGTGTTATGATGTCAGTGCCTACAGAAAGGGAAGTGAGAAGAAGCAGTAATTTCTGACTTCATACCCTCTAACATCACTAATGCAACAACTGCAGACTGAGGGTAAAACAGAGAACGTGCCCTAGGAGGTGCCCAGGCTCCCATGCTTTCTCCAGGTGACATCTCCTGCTATTGCTTTCAGACACAGTGCCACACGAGGGTGATCTGACCCAGCAGAGCATTTCTTATGTGATAGGCTGTGCTGGAAACAAACAATATTGCTAACCTTAAAAAAGCCTTTAATTAAAATCTGTAATAATAGTGGGGCCCTAAATGATCACCTGAAATGTCCTGATCTTTAACATCTCTCCTTTGGGAAATGGAGCATTATGTGACCCAAGTTTAACGTTTGTCTTTTCTTGTGAAAGGAAGTGCTTTCACCTACTGCATACAGGGAGAAACCCTTCCATGTGTACGTGAAGGAGTGTTTATGGCTCTCTAGAAGAACGATTATACATTTGTGAGGGACATTGCATGAGGGAAGGGTGTGATGGAACAGGAGGAAGGAAGACAGCAGCGCAGTGCTGGTCCTTGGTTTGATGCTGGTTTTGATTTTGTTTTTGTTTTCCTTTGAAGTTTAGGATTCAAAACCTGTCATTGTTCCAAAGTAGTAACAGCTTGGGTGGCCTTTTTATCACTGATAATCAGAGTAACGAGACAGGACTGTGACTCCACTGAAAAGAGGCCCTGTCATAGAAAAGGTTTTCCAGGTCAAGATTAAAAGCAAAATATCTCTCATTGCACAAGCCCTTGTACTGCACCCATATTTGTCTGAATACTTTTGGGCTATCTTTAATGTTTGTGCTCCTATCAAGAATAAACCCAGCTTCCATCTCTGCGGGTGTTGTACAGAACATCAACAGCAAATAGGATTTTTTGTTCTTAAGTGTTGATTTTCTTTCTGCTTTCAGTCT